GCATCTTTGTCAGCTCCAGCCTCGAGCAACAATCGCACAACTTCCAAATGGCCTTCCTGGGCTGCAGCGGACAAAGCCGTATCAACCTCTGTGTCTACTGCATGTTTGTCAGCTCCAGCCTCGAGCAACAATCGCACAACTTCCAAGTGCCCAAGCGAGGCAGCAAGAACGAAAAGATCCCCCTTCGGGTCCAGTGGCTTTTGAAGCAGCCTTTCAATGTCAGTCACATTATTTTGCTGGCAGTTCCTGAACAGTTCTTCTTGCATGTCCTCATCAGGGGCACACAAGGGCAGAATTACCAGCTGGACACTTGATATATAGTGCTCGTAGAGGCAAGTCATCCTCTAATTCGCCATGCTCATCACTGAAGAGTCTTTGCTGAAACCTTGAACACCCAACCCGAGCTGAAAGAAGTCGCTTAAGGTCTCGAACAGTTTGCCCACTGTCCCCCATGTAATGTAGCTCATTCTCGTCAAGCTGAGCAACCGTGTTGCCTGACACAGCGGTAACCTGCATCGTTGAGGTTTCATAAGCAAGAGAGCGTCGGCTTGAACCATGGTCAAAGTCCAGGTGGAAAAACCATGCCAAACATTGAGAACCAGTCACAAAGGGGTGCCGAACTTGGAGGTAGTCGGGGTGCCCCTGTCACATCCACTCACTGGATGGGACGAGCCACACCACCCCGTACTTGTGACCCCTGGAACAAGCGTCTTCAAACCTGAACCAGACGAGAACACAATGAAAGATCGGCCTTCCCTCACACAGTCCGCCCACTCCTCGACCCCCTTCAGAGCACTTGCGAGACGGCTGTATGACCAGCTGACGGCTTGTATGACCACCAGCGAGACAGCAACATTGAAACCCTCTCGGCAAAGAAAGCGCTGAGAAAACGATAAAACCTCAAGAAGAAATTGATCAAGCCTTGCAGGATCATCACCAACATATAAGCCTGCACATAGTCAGATTCAACTGGGTCCCCCCCAAGAAAACATAATTAGTTATCCTCGATCTGTACTTATTTCATCTTATTTCTACTACCTGCTTGGAATCCGTGATGCTGAACATATGCTGGCCAGCTGCTTGCCTGCCCGCCCAGCCCATCTTTCGGGCGCCGCGGCGGGAAGGGGATGCCCCCGCCGCGGTCGAAGATGTCCATCCTTGGACCAGCAAGGCGTTCAGGCGGTGGCGGGTGGCACAGTGGATGATGGGACCTGGTGGCCGACTCACTCAAGAGACCTCAAAAAGGATTATATATATATATACGTATAATGACTATACTTTTGAGGGAGGTGCTGTAGGTGGGAGAGACATGGAGAGACTGTAGCTATGATCTATGTACTACAAGGTGCGACCCAGTTCGGGGGGTGATTGGATGGAAAATGCCATGGAATGTGGGGATCTAGAAACCACCCGACCTGGCTGGTGCCTAGTAGGGTGTGATGCGGTTTGTGTTTGCACTAGAGTCGGAAAACGCTGCAAAGTAAACCCATCGAGTAGGGGGGGCATGATTGAAGCACACGTCTGCATGATTGCTCAAGAGGCTGGGATTGACACACCATACCCCCTTACACCCTCTCTATGCACTCTAAGACTCTAAGCGCCTTCAGAAACGTAGTCAATTCTAGGGCATCATTCAAGTGCCCATTGTGCAAGCAAGTTCCCTACTTCACCCTTCTCCCGGTTGCTTGACTCTTGAAAGCTCCTAAGCTCCAGCAGCCGGGACACCTATTTTTAGTGAATTTGAAGATGTTTTAAAGCCTTAAGCGGACAATGTAGCAGGTAAACATGCCAGTCCCATGCAGGGTCTGGGTCTAGTGCGGGTCTCCCCGCCCGGCGTCCGAGCACCGTCGCTGGGCGTTCCGCGCACCACTTGCGACTCGTCGCTGGCCACGCGGATCACGATGGGAGGCACCCTGTGGAAGCTGGACTCTCCGGGCCGGGCCGCAGGGAAGCCACTTGCCAAAAAACCTCCTCCTGACCAGCAAGGTGAGGCAGTTCGTCACCCAGTTTCTGGTGTTTCACTGCCGGCGACGCGAGCCGGGTCCCGGGGACATGAAAAAAAACACCTTTGGTTAGTACACTCCCTGAAGAGCCGGAGGTGGATGCGTCACGGACTCCAAACAAATCACCCTTCTGCCGGGTCACCCAAGCAGGTGGGGTCCATGGTCCACTGACGACTGGGAGCGTTTTAGGATGCAGAGTGTTTGAGGGAGAATACGGATGTCCAACGATGTCCAAGGGTGATCTGGCGTTAGCTGAGACGAATTCCGTGAGATTGTTGAAATTGCTGGAACATACTGAAACGTGTTGCTGTCAAAGTCACACCAGTTCAAGTAGAGGGGTTCAAGATGAATATACATCAAATGGTTTCACTGACCTAGAAGCCCCACCTGGCCTAGATGTCACTTGTCCTTCAACAGCCTACGGCCGCCATATCTGCGTCCTGTCAAACATCCAACAATTTAATTTATTAATATAGTTTAATATTAATGTAGTAGATTAGTAGATATTCGATTGCATGATTCTTGGCAAAGTTCGCCTCTATAGTCCCACTCACTCACCCGGGAAGACCATGTTGCTCTATGAGCACGGGTTTCTTCCGCATCCATGTTGGTAAATGGGAGAGTATGTCGTGTGTGTGTGTGTGTGTCAGCACCTGTTTCAAAGGTCCGACACCAAATGTGCATGATAATTCAGCAGGGGGCCATCCCTCTCACCATTGGTGGATGGCCAACGAAGAGCCCAATGGTAAGAACTGCAAACGTACCGCGCACTGCGTGCGCACTGCGTGCGTCGGTTCCTTTCCTTCTGTTATCCTTTCCTACTCTAATGGGGCGATTCGTCAGCCTCGCCCCGTAGCTATAAACAGGAGGCTTCCGTTTATTCTTCTACTTCTAGCTAACGAACAGGAGGCTTCGCTTCTTCTCTACCTATTTGAAGCGATTCATGTGTCTATATTTGTCTCACTTCCCTATGGAACCTACTCCCCTATGCATGGCCGTAATTCAAGACTGCCAAGTATTCAGTAACTAATTTTGGCGAAGCGTTTGTTAAAACACCTTCAAGTGCGTGGACTTTTCACCACGTTCCAGCTTTCCTTTGCGAGTCAAGCGCTAAGTATTCAGTAACTAGCATTCGGGATGTCTCAACTGATAGAGCTCTTGCGAGCAACAATCCAAGTGTGTGTGGTTGCAGGTGGCGCAATGCCTGTTGCGCCTGTTTTTTTCATGTTCTTTCGAAGTCCAGGCGGGGCCACCGGCCGCCGCGGGGGACCTCTCGGGCCACCCTCCCCTCGGCACCGCCCGACACGGACATGCTGGGCTTCTCCGGCGGTGCTTGCGGCGAGCCCAGCTGGTGCTGCTCAGCCACTGCTCGAACGCCTCGGAGCCGCTGCCGACCCAGGGGACTGCCGATCAGTTGGGTGGTTTTTGTGGGGGGTCTGTCTGGGGCGGCAGTCCTATGGCAGTCCCATGGAGTGTCTAAAAAAGGGAATTCCTGGAGGTACCGGTGGAATCTGCGATAAAGACTAGCTTTCGTCCATCCAATCGCAGGCAAAACCCCCGGGCAACTCGTTCAGGCTGCCGCTGTTCTTCAGCAGCTCCATCAAGATATACATCCTCAGCAGCGGGTCCAGGAAGACTGAAGAAGAAAACGGCATCTGTTCATCTCTCCCTTGGTGGTTCAGTCAGTCTGGCTAGGTTTTTTTTTGCGTACCAGATCTGTACAAGTAGTAAACCAGGTTGATAAACCTGCAAAAAGGGGCCTCTGGGCCTGAGGATGTACCACAAATGCTGCAATGTGACAGTCCAAAAACCAACTCCATCAAGATCCATCAACGTTCACTGCATGACCAACTCAAGTTGGTGAACACACACCAGGACCTTCCATGGGGTGTGAACACAATGGAGATCCCTAAGTAGTGTAGGGGCTTCCAGCCAGGTGACCCCATTGAAGGTGCTGGTAGAAACACCACTTCACCATGCATTGAGCAACGTCCCCCACGCCAGAAACCCAACCGCCTCGTGGCGGGTAGGTATGGGATTTCGTTTGGGGTCAACCTTGGAAGATCCCGTTGGGCCCATTTTGGATGATGGGGGGCCCGGATGTTGCAGGCCGACATCCATCCATCCATCTCTATAATAGTTAGTGACGTTCTTCTTGATTCCTCACAGCTCCTTCCAGGTGCACCTGGGACAGTTCCTTCCATCAAGAGGCCAGTTCTCCTCTGCTTCGCTCCGAGCCCCGCGTTCCGGCGAGCTGGAGCCCCCCCACAAATACGAGGGCACCAGCGGTAGAGTCCGGGCCTCGCGAAAGCGTGACTTCGCCGTTCCCTCCGTGCGCCAGGCCGACGGAAGGGCTCCGTGCTTCCGGCCCAGAGGGAATCGACACACCGAAATCAGATTGAAGTGACTTTCCCTAGGGCTCCAAGTACCTTCTTAGAAGGTGTTCTGGGTGGGTTTAGAGGGTCCAAATATACCTTCTAAGGAGGTACTTGGAGCCCTAGGGTATTTCTTAGAAGGTGGGACTGGGTTGAGTGCCAGGAGGGTCCAGTCATACCTTCGTTTCGGAGGTACGACTGGAGCCCTAGGGTAGGCCATAAGACGCGACACTTTCGGTCTTTGGGGGGCCCTGGAAGGTGGTGATGTTACGCTGCCAGCCATTCCACCTTGGAGGGGCTGTTTTTCAGAGCCCATGAATCTTCATAATGGGCACTCCTCCAGGAAGACCACCCTGCTGGAAGCCCTCGAGCAGGTGCACGGATCTTGTGGAAAGTGACAAGTGACACATGAACACACTGTAATGTCACCTAGGGTGCCATAGACATAGTAATGCTCCGGAATCATCATATTGATCCACACATGCCGCGATAGACTACGTCCTGTCAATGAATATCAATGACTTATATAATGCATATTAAGCACTCTAAGCTAGAACATGCTTCACCATCCAAGTGTGAAACACATCATGATATCTTGACATGAAGCTGTGAGTGGCATGTGGCTTGATATCCATCTTTGCATGGAACTGCAATGATCAATACAGGAGCCAAATCCAAACAGTTTCCACAAATATCAAAATAACTAAGGTCTCATTACCAGCACCTTCCAAGAGGTGTCTATTCACAGCCTCTTAAGAGGTGAAGCGGTGTCTAAGAACCACCTGTTGGAAGGTCCTGGTATGTCCAATGATTGAAAAAGTTTGACTGCCTCACCGCCTCACCTAAGGCTTTGCTCACAATAAAGATTCTATTCATGAGATGTCTCATCCCACTCGAGTACTCACACCAACCAGTATAGTCTGCCTAACTCACCATCCACCTGCGCCTTTTTGGGCCAGGCCAAACGCTCCGCCCGAGGCTCCAACGTCCGCCTTCCCGTGGAAGGTCACGTCGACCTGGAGCAGCTGGCTGGAGCAGACCGCTGATGTGCTCCGCGGAGGGAGAAGACCGGAGCACATCAGCTGGAACAAAACTCCATGTAGACTCTTGATGAATAAACCCTCCATATGAAGAGGTATTTCAACTCAAATGGGGTGGTCTATTAATCAAGAGTCGACATGATGTAAAAATGAATCTTCAGTGCACATGCACTGAAGAGAATCATAAAACACTGAAGCACTGAAGTGTTCATAAAACTTTATGCAAATCGACTGAGTTTTATTCAGGTACACTCAGTCGATGAATAAAACTTAACCCCCTCGTTTGAATTGGACAATCCTCTTCAGGCTTTGGGGGTTTATGAATCAAGAGTCTACATTGTTCCCCGGTCAAGTGAGATCACTGACCTCTAGTCCACTCCCCAAATACTCGCTCAACCAAATAACGACCAGCCCTTTAAAAGCAGACCCAAAACAGACCAATACTCTCTCTACAGTACTCTAGTCCTATACCCATATAACCAGACCTTTGACATCCCCACCGAGCAGCCGCTTGGGGCGTCCTAGACTTCCACAGGCGCTCCCACTCCCCGCATGGGAGACCTTTGTCCCGGCGCTCATAAACCGCCTACGACCCTGGGACGTGGCCTCCAGGTGTGCGGCCCCGTGTTCTTCCCCGTTTGGGCTCCTGGCCCACATCCTCAGGTGCTTGGGGTGGGTGCCAGCGGGGGTCTAACCACCGAACCTGATATGGTTAAAGCAGTGGTTCAAGCATGGTTAAAGCCCCAAAAGGCTCTCAGGTCTCAGCTTTCGGGTTTCACCTCCTCGCCCCCGGTCGAACCACTAAAGATTAAAGGCTCGATCCTCCGCACCGCATAAAAACCGGCCTCCGGAATGGAGCCCGGAAACTCCTCCGACGCGATCTTCCGGGCCTCGGGTCGCCGAGTTCTTTCGGTGCCCACCGGTGCTTCGACCGAGGAATCGGTGCCCGAGTGTGACACCGAGCCAGGACGGCAGTGCGAACGGTGGCAGAACGGATTGGATGTCAGCATGAATACTGTTGGAAGGTGGCATGCGTCATGTGCAGGGCTGAAAACCACCCGTTTCTGGGCCCGAACCCATCCCAGTTGATGGGCCATCACACCGCCACACCCCCGAACCGCCACACCCCGCTGGGTTCCCACAAAGCGTGCCGCCTTCCGAGCAATGGCCTAAGGGACCGGGCGGGGGACCGCGTGGCGGCAAGGAGGCGGAACCGAGCAGGAAGGGGTGGGATGGGGACCAGCTAGAGATTTAAAGAATCATTCCCTAGGGCTCCAAGTGTCTTCTAAGAAGGTGTTGAGGTGGGTTTGGGCCAAATACCATCTGAGAGAAGCAGTCAAAGAGTCTACATAGAGACCAACATCATATGACATAATTATTATGTCTTTTCTCCGGTCGTTTTCGTTGAGGAGAATGGACGTAGGATTACTTGAAACAATTCGAGGAAGCTGGATCAATCTAGGCACTCCCGACACAGGGATCGCAGTGAGGATCAGCGATGCCCGTGCTCTGCTGGAAGAGAGAGAGGTACCTAGCCGCGGCACGAACCTGCCACATCTTCTGGAGAAATCTCCCCCAAACTCCACACACCAGAACGTGGGACGAGGTTTCTGTGGTGACTATCATGTGAACTTTCTCTACCTGGATCCCCTTCTAAAGACTGATCATCTGTGGCTTGTCACATCTGAGACACGACTTTGCTCCGAGCACCAAAGACCAAGAGTCTTATGCTGCTCCAAGATGTCAAGCGCATTTGAGCCTGTCATTGCATAGCCTGTCCCTGCCGAACTTGAAACCAACGGATGGCAGAGTCACCCATGGCTCAAGCCCGAAGAACACTGAACTCCTCAGACCGCGGTCTCGTCACGGCGCACTGGGAGTTCAACATCTCAATGCCAATTCGGCTTAGCACGAAGCCTCAGGCGCAACTGATGTGTCAAGCCCGTCCCACGTCCCACGATCACCACCTTCTCAGTACGAACGACAACGACAGGACCCTGCCTCGCTTTGAAACCCTACTCAGAAGGTCTCTGGACTTTCCAAACCCTCGAAACGAAGGTACGACTGGAGCGCTAGGGAAAGGAAAGTGTCTCCAATCACCCTCGAATCATACAAGGGCATGTGGATCCATAGGACTTTGATCTGCTTGGACCATAGGGGCGAGATCCTGGAGTGCACAGCACAGCACATCCATGAGTTGACAGTGTTATTGTCTAGCACTAGTATTAGCACTTCACTAGGCTTCCAAGACCATTCAACGAAAGGTTGACCAAAATCAAAAAAACATCCTGTAAACCGTCCAAGTGGAACTGCAATAGTTTAACTACCTACAACTTTACCTACCTGAGAAACAGTATGTTCAATGTTTTTTGGTCATACGGCATTTGACAATTTTTTTGTCATTACGGGGTTTGCCCAAATACAGGCATATACGGTTTGCTCTCTTGGCTCAATAAGGGTACCATATTCGGGTGCAGTATTCGCACTAGTATGTTGGAATACGGTTACGGTGTTTTTTCAAAAACATATTGAAAAAATACTACTGTAGTATCATACGGGTACCCCCAAATATGCATCCAAATATGGCCAGTATACGGCCACATTCGTATACAGTTCCCATTCATACAACATGGAGTCCCCCAGAGAGATGTCCGTGCCCGTGCCCACATATGGCATATGCACAAAAAAAGCGGTCAATACGGCTTGAGGCCATAGTGATCAAAAAAGAGTGATCATATGGGTTTCCAGGTACCTATACCACCTGAACCATTTAATAATTCAATAAGGTTTTTAGCTAAACTACTTTATATAAACTACCATACTTATAGGCCTCACAGGGCACCCAAACAACTGACCCGCATGAACATCCATTCCGCAACTATTCCAATCCCATTCGTCTCAAAGCGCGATTAGCTCGGTCCCGGGCGGTCGAGGAAAGTGTCGATCTCCTCCATGACCTGCCGACCCGGGAGCGCGACAACGGGAGCAGGTGTCCGGCCTCGAAGGTGTCCGGCGACCGATGGTAGAGGTATGTAGAGGTGGAGGTCTTTGCTAGCAGAAGAGAGGTTTTGTGTCCCTTTTTGGGGGAAAGGTGGAGGTCTTTGTGAAAATGGGTTTGGTTCTAAATCTGCCAAGTTCATGATCCCAAAATAAACATGATCCCAAATTATGTTGCAAATTGTTGCAAGGTGTGGTTGTAACCCTTTGCTAGATCTATGTCCATCGGGAAAAAACATCTTAAGATGTTTCCGTTGGCCTTTCCGTGTGAGACGATGTAGGGATGAACATTCGGCCGTCCTGGCGTGTATATCCATGTGGTTCTGGCTGAATCGAAAGCCAAAAAATCTAACTTATGGTGTGTCCAACATTGTTCCCCCATGTCGAACAAAGTGATAGACAACACCGGGATCCAGCTACATACCACAATATTAGGCGACAAATGGTTCCAAACTCTAAGCCCTAAAACCAGCACATCCAGCACCAAAGAGTGGTTCTTGGACGGAAAGTACCTGGTCAAAGGGGAGACCATGCAGCCCCAGTACCAACAGTGGTCACATGTGGTCACCCCTCTTCCCCATCCCAGAGCCTTACAGCTCCTCCCTAAGGCTCCAAGTACATCCTCAGAAGGTGTTTGGACCCTCCCGGCACCCACCCCGAACACCTTCGAAACGAAGCTGCGACAGGAGCCCTAGGGCCTATGAGAACGCAGGCTCCGTCACGGAAAGTCATCGCTACGTCTCGGCTCCGGCCGTGCCGTGGCCGTTCGAAGGCGCCTCATGCTGGGATCGCCCCGCTTCAAGCTTCAGACTGGCCGCGGCGCGCCAGTCAAAGCGCCGCGGGGCGCCAGTCGGCGCCGCTTCGCGCGCAGGGACCGGACATGAACCGGGCAGGAGGGGGGACCTCCTGTTGATCGGCCAAGATGAAATCTCAACTTGACTGAGCTAGATCTATAGAGCTTACCATTATAGTAATAGGCCCGACAACTTCAATGATTCTCGGAAATGGTGCAGGTCATTTTCGCATGGCGACTCAAAAGTTGGGACATCGGCGAGGGAGCATCTGAGTCAATCACTTCCCAATTGAAGACACGTGTTTAAACAAAATACGTTAAAAAAATATATAAAACACTAACACATATAACAAATGAACAATAAACAACGAGAACAAATGAACATGTTATTGTTATTGAAAAATAAAACTAAAACATATAAGAAACAACATTAAAGAAACAAAAAGAAACACTAACATGCAAAAAACAATGTCGGGCTGGTGATCTGAGGTGCATTGTGTGGCCCCCCCCTGTGTGTTTTGTGTAGACTCTGGTTTTTTCACACCGTAAGCCTGTTGTACTTGGAAACCCTCTGCATATATGGGGAGTTCACCAGGGATTGATGAATCAAGAGTAAAAGGATCAGGCCAGGACGGTCCGTGCTTTTATAGTCAAGAGGAAAAGTCAAAGTCAATAACACATCAAAAATAACAAATCAAAACAATCAAATTAGAAACAACTCGAAAAAGTAAAAACATAAAGTCAAAAAAAAGTCGGCTCTGATATTTGTTCTTTGACTTGGCGCCGGCTACAATGTTGACTGTTTTTGGACTTTGTTTAAATCTTGAAAACTGGCCCTCTCCAATGAAACATGTTTATGTCTATTGCACAAGCCTATGGGCACCCCATGGCCCATCATACATGCAAATGAACCACACTTCGAGAACAAAAACACACTATAGACATACTGTACATCATATCTATATATAAACATAGTCTCAAAAAATAACATGCCACACCTCCCTGCCAAGGTCCGGGAAAAGCCAGGATCTTCTTTGTTCCGAAACCTCCTTCCCCCAAAGCCATTCCACGCGCTTTGGCACGGCGGAATCGGCTGCACCTGCGCAAGTCCTGCATCCCGACGGTCAGCCTCTTCACCCTGTCGAAAGGCGTCCGTGGAACGCCGCGGGTTCCGGCGCACGGCGGAGGGTTCCGCAGATGGAGGTGGACCTTCTCAGAGACCTCTCTGGAACTGCCAGGACTTTGGCGTGCGTTTGGGGGTTGGTGGGCCAGGGGTCAATGGGACCGGCGATCTATTCCAGTCCCATGGATGGTCTGGGTGTGGTGTTGGGCCTCCGGGCTGAAGTGTTGCGGCAAAGTTGCAAAGATGAGACTGAATATGGAAAGGACAACTAATCCAAGTGGAGTTCAAGGGCCAATTCCGGAGTTCAATCCTTTCTTGTAAAGCAATGAGGCAGAACTTAACATTACCAAGCTGGTAATGCAGGGGTTGGCACATCAAATTACGTACATCCCCTGCAGGATGCTCCTGAATCCTCAAACCATATTGCCATCCTGCACCCTGCAAAGGATCCGAATCAGAAAGCAATCGCATCGCCCCAACAAACTGTGGAAAAGAATCCGCGCTGTTTTCCCTTTGATCAGCTCCCAACTGAATTTCCTTCATTCTACCTGGCATTCCCAGCCACATGAGGCCACTCTCTTTTGCCACCTGCCATGGCTCAATCCCCGCCAGGGACCACCTCTTCAACATGGTTCCCCCTGCTTGGCTCGCGCGCCAATTCTTCCCCCCTCCCAAGAGGCCTAGAGAGGTTGAACAGCCCTAAAGCACATACCTCACCCACTTCAGATCGCTCCACCTCGCTATCTGGTACCTAGACATCCAAGACCATCAACAAAAATGCTTCACCTGGTTTTTGTAGTGTAAAATCCTTACCAGCACCGAAACCAACAGGTCTCCTCTGAAGGCGTTTGTAGACTTTTTCAAGTCGCAGTTGGTGACCTGTTGGAAGGTCCTGTTAGTTGATTCAGTAAAGCCTATTAAATTCATGGTGGGCCAGGAAGCCTCGCTCTCTTCTCTTAGCCCTAGGCTTCCAAGACCATTCAAAGAAAGGTTGACCTGGTAAAATCCTTAGTAAAACAATGGTGGTTCGGTAAAGGCCATTAAAACAATGGTTGTTGGAAGCCTAGGGTTAGTGATCTTCAAACCCCAAACGGAAAAGAAACGCGCGTCGTCCCAGCTGGGAGCGTCGCTGATGCTTGTGCCGTTCCTTCACCTTCCGCACCACGTTGGCAAAGTCCTCCCGCACCGCAGCGTGGGGCGACGGCGAGGAGGATGGGGGGAGAAGCCATGGGCGTCGGCGGCGGCACGCGACGGAAGGGCGTTTTCCCAATCAACATGTTCCTCGGGCTTTCCCAACATGGCCTCGAAAAGAGGCTCCTCACCACCTCCTGATCACAGTTGCTCACTCGTATCTTCATACTATCCCTTCTTCGCGACCCTCGAGCATCGGCTCCGCGGGACGCGCGCGGGTTCCGCGGCAGCGGGGCTCCAGCAGTGAGGTGTTGGGATCGTCCGCGGCGCCCAGGACTTCTTGGAAGGACCGGACCTCGGGCGTCCACGCCGAAGCGCCGTGCCACCGCGAGGAGGAGGAGGAAAGCGAGCGAGAAACGCGGGCTGAGGGGTTCGGCTGAGACGATACGAGGGGATGGAATGGAATGGAATGGAAAGGGAGGTATGAAGAGGTGTGAAGAATTAGATGTGCGAAATGGGTCGTGAGATGCCTTTTTTGTTTGGGACGAAATCCATGTGGTGGAACATGGAGCACTTACTCAGCAAGGACATTTTTTGTATAGTCAGTCTGCATAAGGCTGGGGTTGTCTCTATCACGGCCAGGTAGGCCTTTTTCCAGCAACATGTGGCCGGGGATGGCTTTTTGTCGCGCTAAAAAAGCAGCCGGTGCGTTTGAGGGTTTTCTGTAGCGTAAGGATTCAGTGATCACGAGTAGTCTCACACACGACGTGTTTCTAAGTATCCAGCGTTTCAGCTGTGAATCAGGCAAAGAATCGGACCAACTCCCTAGGGATCCAGTCGTACCGAACCGGTACGGTGATGTGTTCGACACTGAGACTTGTAGGTGCCAAAACGTCGGGTCCAGTCGTGCCTTCTCCTGAACTTCGGTACGAGTGGAGGGACTATGAGGGACTGATGAATTCAACTCCCTCACCTCAGCTCAGCTGGACAAAAATCAAAGGCCCAAACGAGCACCGCGGTCCCGGTCCTCCCTCATCTCCTCTGTTTTCTCCGGCGCCTCTTCTCGGCGCATCGCCTCTTCGCTCGGCCAGAGTTCTGCCAGGCCAGGGCGGAACAAGGACGCCACGAACGGGGCTCCTGGCCTTACTACTGGGAAGAAGAAGCTACTAGGAACAAGGGCATCGCTGCAGCTGGATGGCCACCAGATGGTGACCGACCAGCGGCTGAGAAGAACGTGTCTTCGGTCAACCGATTGCATAGTGCTGCGTGGCTCTCAATGTTAGAGACCATCTGCCGCTGATACATCTGTGTGAGCTCCAGCCTCGAGCAACAATTGCAGAACCTCCAAGTGACCCCTCAGCCCAGCAATAAGCACAGCCGTTGCACCAATTTCAGTTGCAGTGTCTTTGTCAGCTCCAGCCTCGAGCAACAATCGCACAACATTCAAGTTACCATTTTGCGCTGCAATGTACAAAGCCGTTTCCCCATTTGTTGTTGCCGCATCTTTGTCAGCTCCAGCCTCGAGCAGCAATCGCACAACTTCCAAGTGGCCTTTCTGGGCTGCGATGTACAAAGGCGTCTCCCCATCTGTCGCATCTAAGCGGGCTCCAGCCCCGAGCAGCAAGCGCACAGCTTCCACATGCCCCCCCCGGGCTGCAATGTACAAAGCCGTTGTCCCATCTGCATTTGCTGCATCCTGGTCAGCTCCAGCCTCCAGCAACAATTCCATAATTTCCAGGTGTTCAAACACAGCTGCCATGTGCAAAGCCGTTGTCCCATTTGCGTCTGCTGCATCTTTGTCAGCTCCAGCCTCGATCAGAAATCGCACAACTTCCAAGTGCCCATTCTGAGCTGCAATCTGCACAGCCGCTGCACCATTTTCATGCGCGGCATCTTTGTCAGCCCCAGCCTCCAGCAACAATTGCACAACTTCCAGGTGGCCATTCTCAGCCGCAAGAAACACACCTCTTCCGGTCGGGTCCTGTGGCTGGTGAAGCAGTCTTTCGAGATGCGCAACCTGATTCTCCCGGCAGCTCCGAAGAAGTTCTTTCTGCATGTTCTCATCTGGAACACGCAGAGGCAGGAGTACCAGTTGCACACTTGGTAGTGGTGTCAAAGGTAAGTCATCCTCCAACTCACCAATTTCGTCACTGAAGAGTCTTTGCTGAAACCTTGAGCACCCAAGCAGAGCTGAAAGAAGTCGCTTGAGGTCCCTAACAACTTTCCCGCTTTCCACCATGTGACGCAGTTCCTCCTCATCAAGCTGAGCAACTACTGATCCAGACGCAGCAATCACCTGCATCATCCAAGTTCAGAACCAGAAGGTGTCGGCTTTTTCGCATCAACATCAGGGGATGCCCGTCGCCACGACGCAAGCATACCCGACGCATATGAGACTGAGACTGCAAGCCTACCCAACGAAAAGCCCGCCTACATGGTCTTATGGAGTGGGTCTTGAGAATTATACGCACAGAAAAGCAAGATCCATGGGGCAGGATCCATATGACCTACATGAACACCACCAGTGCAGCCACCAGTCATGTTGGCAGGGCAGGACTGCTGCCCCATGGATCGTTTGGGAAGGGTGAGGGTTCGGCCAACCTCAAGTGCGCCGAACTCACGGTCCTGGATGCGTCTCAAGAGAACACCCGCGGTTCGCCATGCTTCGCCTGCCCCAACTCGAGACACCTAGACACCTGCTGCCCCAAACTTGGAGGCGAAATCGTCCGGTGTTTGCCTCCCTCACCCCAAAACATGCCCAAAAGACATGGGCGTGTCTTAAAGTGCATTTCGACCCCCGGGGAGGGACCCAGGCACTCCATGGGGCGGTGCCATATTGACCCCTCAAACCACCCTAAGGTAGGGAAAGATGACAGTCCCATGGGTCGTGCCTGGGCTATACCATAAAAAACGGTACCTAACCCACCATCAACCAACCTCCTTCTACCTAACCCACCATCAACCAACCTCCTTCCAGTAAGCCGAGCCTGAACTCTGAGACCTCCGTACCAGCCGAGCCCGGGCGCACAGCAGGGCCCTTAGGGCGCGCGGTCCAGGTGCGCGCGGTCCGCCCGACGCGGCTGGGCGCCACCAGCCCTGTATGGGTAGATCCTACTGCCAGTGTGATGATGGGGCCTGGTTGCAGGGATATAGCGATGTTCTTAGTTTACCAGCGATATCCTGATGCCAGTGGTAGGTCCATCCATGAATCTAAAAATTGCCGAATGTTCTTAGTTTACCGCCGACTGTTGCAGGGAATGGGACAAAGCCAACCTATGATATGGATGTTTATAGGGAGACCTCCCAGGCAAGGACGAAGAAAGAAGCTCGACCCTGGCTGGAGGGACAGGGGTGGGTCGTAAAGAACACTTCCATCTCACGGTCTCAGGTCTCAGGACCTTGAGATGATCCTTTTAGCATACAAGGTCTCAGCACCCCCCTGTCACGCAGCAAGCCACACAGGAAACAACCAGGCGGCCTTCCCCCTCCCTTCCACAACGGACAGGAAAGCGCCCCCTCACGAACGAACGGTTCTTTCAGAACCCGATCTGATCGACTCTCCGAGTCTGCGGTCGGCCCGAACAGCCCGACCTCCCCTCTGCGGAGCCCTGCTGTCCCCCACGGTCACCACGCGCGTCGCGTCCAGTCGCGGTGTGGCCGGCTCGTGCAGGCCGCCTGGAGCCGGGCCCAGCCGCCACCTCCAACTGGGCCGCCCCAACGGACAGCCTTCCATGTGATCCAGATGCGTCAGATGCGCGATGCCTCGGCCCGGCTCGGTCCACTCGTGGGAGGCAGAGGTGGAGAGGAAAGGAAGAACGCGGAGTCCATATATATACCAACAGAGGTTGAAGAACCCTATAGACTATTATAGACTATCCCATAGGTACCCCAGGTTACGGTCCTATAAGGTCACTTAACCTCTCTTGGTAGTAGAAGAGGTGGAGAGGATGATGAAGAGGTGGATTATGAAGAAGTGGAAAGATCGATTAGTATAGGTAGATCTATAGAAGGATTATGAAGAGGTGGAGAGATGGGGTCATCTTCTGGAGTTCTTTTATGTTCTTTTTAAGTGCTTCTGTTTTGATGTTTGGCACCTACCCCCAATGCCTATGCAGCTTTGGTGGCGTGGATTCGAACAGTCAAGGCAAGGCCTTTGAATGTTCCAGGTTGCTGGATGACCCTGGTTCATATATCAAGCGCCCTTCTGTGACGATCCTGGTCAATATATGATATGATATATGCCCCTTCTGTGATGATCCATATAGCTTGTGGCATCTATACGTGCATGCAACATCGATGGATTTCGCTCCTCATTCCTCGCAGATGGAGCACCACCGGCTAGTCCAACCAACTTGCCAGTGACCGTCGGGGAACAGCATCACGACAGTGAATGTCCTCTACCATCCTCCAGCGTCCTCCAACGGAGGTTATATAAGTGACCCGGTTTCATAAGACCCGTAACCTGAGGTACCGAACTGGGATGGCCTAGTTGGTTCGGGTTCTTCAACCTCTCTTGCCTCTCCTGAAAAAAGAGGGTTCGCCGACCCCAACAGGTCAAACCATTGACCGTCGGAGGCTGGCAGTTCGTGCTGCAAACTGCGGACACTGCCCCAAGGACGCTGGGGAAAATCAAAAGCTCAGCATTTCACAGACGAGGCACCTTTGAGGGACTGGATAAAGGATCCTAGTTTCAGGCTCCTGTCCATCCTCAGGTTAGACTAGGTTAGACTGTTAAGACCCCCCCGCTACCCGAACCAGCGAACCGAAATGGACTGAAACCATCTGGGGGCCCAAACGGTTGGCCAGTCGCACCTCATCAGGAAAAGCGAACTGAGGTATTTGGTGCAAAAGAGAAGCCCAGCTCTACTCTACACTCCGTGGAATCAACATGGAAGCGGAAATGGTAGTGGAAATGGTCTAGTCTACACTCCCTGGCTGTTTGTAGAGGAAAATGGTCGTTACACTGGCATGCAGCGGCCATTGTTCACTTCCATGTTAGTGAGCCGGAGTGCACATAGTTAATCGAATCATCTCTCAAATAGAGCGTGTCCAGTTTCAACATGCTGAGAAGCATGGTCCATCTACCAGGGCCCCTGCTTCGGGGTGATTAGCCCTGCATGGAGAGGAAAAAAAGGTTAAGAGGGATCCATAAACCACCCTGGTACCATGGGGTCCGCGGCAAACAAGGTCTAACATGGTTGAAACATGGTTGGAACGCTGCAACAACTGGTCATATGTTCTCTCACCACAATGATCCACTGGTACACAACTGGTCATTGGCCAAAAAAGGATCACCAGCTAAGCATCCTGCTTTTCGCATCCTGCTTCATCTTAGATCTTCTATCTATATAGGATGCGGCCATATATAGCTATAGGGTCCAGGTACCTCCTGAGGATGGCCTTGGAGGTGAAAGTACTTCCTGAGAATGGTCTTGGGGGGTCAAAGGACATCCTCAGGATAGTCCTGGACCCTTAGGGATAGCTATATATGGACCACCTCTACGTCTACGGCACCTTTCCCTCCTCCAATCCCATCGCTCCCGCGGAGCAAGGACTGGCTGGGCCGGACGGGCGTCTACGCGGCAAGAGTGGCGAGTTGGAACATCAAATAACAAGGCAGAGGTGGACTTGCCTATAGGATGGACTTTATTGGAGTATTGGCCAGATGGCATGTGTATATGTAATATATAATACTGACAACTCTTTTTTCTTTGGCATCTGATGTTGTTCGCGAGTACTGGTCTCCGACCAAAACAACATCAGCCTGGAATCCAGTTTGGAGCACGGCTATGGTGCTCCAAGTCCAAGATGTACAAGCGCAACTGTAGAATCCGCATGTGCCATAGACTGACTACAAGTTTCAGCTTCTCGTGCTTCACTGGCCATCGGCGAGTTTCTCGCCAAGAATTAAGGCAACTAAACTAAAGGCACATAGCACACCGTATGGCACGCCTCATCGGTTGCTTCTGGCAGGCTAGGCTTTGGACCGTCAGCGACGTTCCGTTCGGAAGAAGTTCCGGGGCTCAAGTACTCAAGCCAATTTCACATCTGAGCCGCTATTCCACAACGACCCGAGCTTGAGAGCACTTCAAGAGTCACCCAGAACATGCTTCTCCAAGTTGTGTGGCACACTTCTTCACGTCCCAAAAAAGTCTTGGAACACAGCGCATCGGCTCCGTCACCTCACAGCTCTCCGAGTTACGCACCTCATCCTCCACAGCTGGGCGGCCGCCACGCAATGAGCACCGGTGGACCACTGCCGGGCATCAAGTCTTCGGACTGGCCTCGAGGGAGCTGGGCACGTCAAGGAAAACCAAAACCGCTTGGGGAGGGGGTTCAAACAGTTGGTGGGAGCCGGTCCAGCCAAGGGAAGCCCCTCTTCAAAGCGTCTAAAAAAATAAGCCACACTTCGTCACAAAAATGGAAGTATCAGCCACACTTCTTGCACTCCGCATGTACAAAGCATGCTTCTCGCTTGGTCGTGGAGACCCTCCCCCTCTAGCAAAGTGATAGAACTCCCCTTGCTGGCTCGAGACGAAGTAATCCACCGATATATACTGATATAGAGTCTCTATCCAATGCAAGTATTAGCTCTCTATACCATCACCCTCCAACAAATCCCCTCTATACCCTAAAGGGTTGTTGGACCCCATCAAAGGTCTCAATTGGCGACCTGGCAGTGTGGCTGCTGGTGCTGATGATGCACAACATGATCACCTTACCGAGCTTTTTAATGTTCTTCCCTTCCCACCTCGGGAAAGCAGCGTGCCAGCAGTCGCTGCGCCAGCTGCCTGACCTGCTTGTTGTGGTCTTGCAGCAGTTCAGTCAACAAGTCCAGATGCGGCAGCAACCTGACTCGATCGAGACGCGAGTGAATCCATGAATCCAGACGCAGATCCCATCCACTTGTTTCAGGTCCATCTAGGAGGACCCTCCCCAGGCAGGAGATCTGGAGGTCGGTCTTGTTTGGTCTCAGCTTCGCACTGGACTTGTCAAACACCATCGACCGGAGAGTAGTAAAGTGTCGATGGGTCCAAGACATTTTACGATCATTGACGCTACGTGCTAATAATTTATATAGTGGTCCCCAAATAGATCGTGGCACGGTGTCCAATAATCACATTTGAAGTGAGGATTTACGAACTTCTATGTTTGGGTCTATACACTCTATGATGTACAAGCGGTGTCACAGTAGCAATTCCATTTTTAAGACAGCGGTTCATCGACCGTCTTGGCCCGTTCTCGCGGTCATGTGGGTCATGGGGTCATGTGGATTCCGATGGAACATCTTGGCCACCCACATCCACCTCCAAACTGACATTCACACCTTCCAAGAGATGACGTTATAGCTCTCATGTGCACTTTCGGTATGTATGGTTTCAGAATAGATGGCACTGGCACCCACAGATGTCTGTCACCTACAGCTCCATACAATAAATACGACCCGCAAGGAGGGCCCTTTTGGCCCTGGCACGTGCCATAGGCCCTTACCTCTGAATTCGTCCCCCCGTGCCGAGCTGAATTCTTCCCAGGGCATCCAGGCATACCACTATAGTATGCTGGTAACCAGTGGTTCCAGTTCGACAAAAACCATAGAGTCTATGGTTTTAGTCGAACTGGAACCACTGCTTACCACCTGGAATCCCTGGTTCCTTACTACTCGTGCTTTGCCTCGGCTTCACGCTGCTACGTTCACCGCGCCCGTCGCGACGCGTAGGCTTGGTCCGGGGAGCAGCGCGGGCTTGCACTCCAGCAAGGCGCGGCAGGCATTCCACCGCACCAGCAGGCAGTCCTGCGGGTCAACCCGCCGGCACCGGGGCGGAAGAGGGGGATGCACCACAGCGGCTCCAAGTTCCACCCCCGTGAACTGGGATGAAGGAGGGTGAACAGCCAAAATCAGGAAGCAAAGAGGTCCTGTGAGGCAGGGCACGTGGATGGTTGGTATTAGAAGTTGCAAGGCAAAACCAAGTGTGCCCAAATCATGGACTGTTGTTCAAGTTCCTCCTTGGTGTGCCCTTAAAAATCCTTACTTGTTGCATCTGGTTGCCATGCATTTTTGGTCCAGTGTTATATATGTGCCATGCGGCTGTCAGCCCGTGGTCGAAACACCGTCTGCCTTGAGACGCCGAGCCAGTGGGGAGACGTAAGGCGCGATGAAGGAGGGATCCTTAGGATGAAGCACTGTACCCCAAAGATCCCAAAAGAAAGGCTTCTTTTGCTAACATCTTATGTCTCTAGAACCCAGACATGACCTTTGTTCGGATAGGAAAAGACCATGTTATCCAAAACTGGGGTCAATCAGATTCTAGGTCATTATAAAAACCCTGAGAGTCAAAGACTAGAAAAAGAATGGTCGGACTAGGTGACCCGAGTCTAGGAATTTCCTTTACTTCAGTCGGTCAAAATACAGCCTTTGGACTTCTAGGATAATGATTTGATTTTGATGTGCAACATGTTGTGCATATGATTCTGATGTGCAACATCTTAATCGCCGGAGTGAGTATGTCGTGAAACCACCCTGGGAGAGGTCCAGTGGTAGGGGTTTTGCATAGCATATAGGGTTTTGCAGGCCATGGATTGATCCGCACGGCGTTCTGTTGCATTCTGGTGGTGGGCCAGTGAGGTCAGTAGCCACGGGTTCTATTCTAATGGTTGTACAACGACTGGTGGCAAAAAGCCTTTCTTATTGACCAACCAAGAGCGTAAAAGAGGTCATGATCGTGTCGCTCAGCACGCTCGGCACGAAGACCAATAGAAGGGCTTTCCCAGCACCGTGTCGCGTTGAACGCGCCGGGAGAAAGACATGTTCTTCTCTGAACACCTGAAACACCCCCTGAAACAAACCATGGAAGTGGACTCCAACCCCTGTTGGTGGAAAAAATCCGTGTTCCAGGCCGGCCAGTCCACTTCCACCATGATTGGAAAGGAGGGACGGGTACTCCATCGATCTCCCGTTTGGGCGTGCCAGGAGGATCCGAGACCCTACCAGCTACGACTGGAGCTATATAAGTGTTGGATTCACCACAAAAAGGAAGAGATCTGCACATTGTAGCATGGTTGCACATGTCAAGGCAAAAACAACACAATCCAAACCCAACATCCTCCGGTAGTGATGCTCGTTATGAGCTGTTTTCCCGTTTTCTCACTTGGCAAGTGTCGCACTTCGCAAAGGCCTGGCACACCGCAATGCGGACCTCAAGGTCCTGATCCTGCGGCTGCCGCCAGATCAGGAAGCCCAGCGCAGGAATCATATCCATTAGTCCATTAGCATTGCATACACTCCCTAGGGCTCCAGTCATACCTTCGTTTCGGTTCGGTGGGACTGGGGTGGGTGTCATGTTCGGGTCCAGTCATACCGAACCTGAGCAGGTAACTTCCTGGAGCCCTACGGACTGCGAGACCGTAAGCTCAGAACCACCTCTTTGGCATCCGGTTTGGCCGGCTGTGATGGACACAAGGCGCCGTTGCGTGATGAACCAGTGAGGTCGCCTTGGGAAGTACAGGAGCTCTCACTGCTGGGTACCATGTACCTGGTGGTACACTTGGTAGGGGGTGACCCCTCTAGTTAGTCATCACCCAGGGCGTCAAAGGCCGGGCTTGAGGCTCGCCCGCTGCACGGTGAGCTAGGGCTGTCCTCCATGTAGGGCGCCAAAAGGTGCAAGTAGGGCTGGAGGACCTCCAGCTCTCCCGTCGGCCACGCCGATCTGTAAGCCCTCCCCGGAAGCCGGGACAGTCCCGTCAAGACATACCTGGAACTCAACTGACCTCTGATTTGATAGGAAGTTGGGCCATATTTTGAGTGGTTGGTGGTCCAAAATAGAGGTCATGACCAGGTTCTAGGATCTTGAGAAGAGGAATTCATCCAATGAGGAGCATCCAAAGAAACGGCGAGACGGCGAGAAGGGGGATTCATCGGGAAGCTGAATCCACACCCAAACGATCCATTGGGACTAGCAGTCCCAACATGACTGGTGGCTACACTGGTGGTGTTCTTCATGTAGGTCATATGGATCCTGCCCCATGGATTGTCAGGGGGTGTTCATGTAGGTCAGCCGCAAAACCCGGCTTCACCCCCGCATGTCTGGACCCATGACGCTGCCGTTCTCCCGAAGCCGGCCAGCGCGTCTTGCGGTGGGGTCACGCACATCTGCACATCTGCACAAGGGAGGGGCAGTGGGAATCCACAGACTTGAATCAAATCAATCCCGGGCTCACTATGGTTGTGCGGGCTTCTATTTTCTTCGGTGAAACTGTTGAGGTGTCTGTGCCTGCCTTCTGAACATGATCCTGGGGGTCCTTCTGGGTCCATCCACGAATAATCCTTCACAGCCTGCATGGAACCCAGAAACCGGCATTGCACTCGACACCGGGCGCCATCGACGCATCCACCCGGTCAATGAAGTCAACTTTTGAAATATGGATTTGAGTGGTTCAAGTCGACAAGAATCTAATGAGTGTGTAAGGGACCTCCCAACCAATGGCTAGGCGACCAGACAGGTCTATTTCCTCTTTTGGAGGTCTTCCAAGGGTGAAAAGGAGCAAGCCCGGAGCATGTGCAGGGCTGGATTCCCATGGTCCCCTTGTTGGAATCTCAATGGAACTGGTGCCCGTCACCCAAAAACCCTCCGATCTCACGTCCCATAAAACACCCCGGGAGAACCGCCTGTGGATGGCACCGGGAGAGGGCCTGGCACCGCGCGGCCCAGTTACCACTATACAAGGGACCAGGGGAACCAGGGGGTTCTAGGTCTATGGCTTTAGTATTTGGAACCACTGGTTACCAGCTATAGTGGTAACTGGATGCCCTGGGACATGTGTGCCGGACAAAATCTCTTGCCTAGCCGCTAGCCTCAAAACATTGCCTAGAATGGGTCGGCCATCGGCTGTGCAGTTTTTGTAGGGTTGGCTGCGTTTCAAGCTTTGTTGGTGGCATCAAGTTTGCCATAGTTTGGCATGCCAACAATGAGGGCACGAATGAACTGCAGTAGTGGTTGCACAAGTTGTGGGGTAGCTGCTCTTCCATGGGCACGAACATGTTCAAAGTGTAGTGGCTGTGTAAGTTGTGGAGGAGTTTTGTGTCATGGACAAAAACATGTTCAGAGTGTAGTGGTTGTAAAAGTTGTGGAGGAGTTGCTCTTCCACGGGCACAAACATGTTAGCATCGGTTGGGGCATCAGTAAGGCTCTGCGGTGAGAAAGCAAATCCAGTGGTTGGAAATTTGTCGGTTGCAACACGTCTTGTATACTGCCGTAAGCAACCTCAATCTGAGAAGAGTAACATACCAAGTGTTTGCGCCAGCTACAAATGTAAAATGGCAGCGTGCTTCCTAAAGTGGCCGGTACATCAAAAGGGCATCGGTAGACGGGTCGGCCCCTATCGGTTGCCAATATCCCAAGACCACCCTGTGACTACGTAGTATGCACTAGATATTGCCGGATGCGCATATAATATAGATCACCATTGAGCGAAAACATCTAAAACCACGCAAGCAGTGCTATACTAGGGCTGCGACTCGTATGCTGTCAGGACGGTTGAACGGAGGTTGTAAAGAAATGGCCGCCGGCTGCCAAATTGGAGCCCCTTTCTTGTGCACCCAAGATCCATCCCCGTAAAACAACCAGCAAATATAGCTACCTAAAACCCATTGGACCTCCTTTTTGATAGGAAAGGGCCATATTTTGGATAGCTGATCCTCCAAAATAAAGGTCCGTCAGGTTCTAGGTGTCGCATAAATAGCTATAGACAATAATTAGCAGCACTTAGGTGGCACTTAGCACTCATTTTTTGAGTCACTGGTCCATCTCCATTCCCTAAAACACCTTTGGACCGGAAATAGTTGCATAGCTCTCCCTCCACCAACGGCTCTGTTCGCCTGGCAGCTGGCGCGGCGCACGGGGCCCGGCTCCGAACCGTGCGCACTCGCCGCCAGCGCCGTGGCGTGCGGGGAAAGGACCTCGGCACCTGGCGGGGAACACCGCAGAGAGGCGCCCCGCACCCCTAAAACATCTTGCTTACGTGGGCTGAACTTGGCGTGGTTGATGTTCATGAGCCGACATATGATCCACATATGAAGGTCTAAGTGACCTCAAACTGGGGGATGAAGCTCGCTCACTAACGAGTCGGAACGAGGCGTGTCGTGTCGACTGGCACCTCTTTATTATAAGACCGCTCTCATCCTTCACCGGTTCGGTCGACGGCGTTTCACCCGTGACCGGCACCGGTCGACCGGCACGACTGCCTTTGATCTGTGCGAAGGCCACCAGGGCAGCCGTTCTCATCTTCTCGTCCTGCACCGGCAGGTGAGGAGCCGGTTCCGGAAGAGAGAAATCAAGGAACCCCAGGAGTCTCTCCAAGTACTTCTAAGAAGGTGCCAAGTACCTTCTGAGGAGGTACGGCTGGAGCCCTAGGGTACTTCAGCCCCTTGCATCAAACCAAAAGGGATGGATGATAGGATCGGTTACTGCAACCCGCTGCTGCTATGTGTTCTTCACGCGCTCTGGAAAGCAAGCAAGCGAAACCAAATAGCAGAAACAATCTTGCTCACACCCCAGCTGGGTGCTGGGATGGCTTGGAAGAGAGCAAGGCAGAAAAGCAAAGGTTGGAAAAAATCACCTTCATGGAGCACAACATGGAAATTGAAGCATTTTGTGTCTTTGATAGGTTTTAGTTGCACCTATGGCGCCCTTCAATTGCTTAGGTAACAATTGCTACTGGCCTTATAGGAAGCAGCACAATGTGTATTAGCGTGCATTAGTGCCTATTAGCGTGCTCATGGACCCCTTCCAGCTGGTTGCGCCTGTCTGTGGGCCGGTTGGGAAAATGGCCACTAGATGTCATCTGCATCTCCCAACAGTTCAAGAGCTTTTTGACGCTTCAAGCTCACTGCCTTCAGGCTGCTCAGCAGCTGGCTCGGGAACAACTTTGGTGAGAAAGCGGCCTTCATACTCTCGCTTTTCACCTTTCTTCTTGCCCTCTTCCAAGAGCACTTTGAAGTTGTCATTGGCGAGCACATTGACCACTGTGGCCAACTTGTCATTGTAGAACTCCTTTTGCTTCGTGGCCTTTTTGGACCTCTCCAGGATATTGGGAAAAATCTTTCGAAAAAGAACGTGATCTTATTAGGCAACAACTGGGCTCAACAAGTTTGGAAACGAAACCTTGCGTGTTTCTGCTGTTCCCAAAAAGGGCCTTATCCCCAATCACTGTATGGCCACCGCCGGAGAAGGAGAGTGAATTTCTGTCGGCTGCTGGGTCGGAGCTGCAGGGGCTGTCTCCTTATCCTCTTTGTTTGCCACGGCATTTTCGCGGTGGCCGGCGTGGAGTTGTCAGACGCCGGCTTGTACTTCGACAAGAACTGGAAGGAAGGGATCTCTCGGTCCAAGTCCTGCACCCAACCGACTCAACATGGCGTGACTTACTCAAAAAGAACCTTTAAACTTTAAACTTTTCCAGCTATATCGAAAACAACAACTTCCCTCGAGCCACCTTCGGTGGGATAGAGGCGGCCAACTTCTGCAGGGAATCCGAATGCTCTAGGTTGAAATCATCATAAGAGATCTCGGTGTAACCTGTGATGTCCACGCCTAGTTTCAAAGAACTCAAATCGACAAAGATACGCTTGGCCAGGGGCAAGGGCCGAAAGAAGAGGCTCACTGGCGCCGATCGCCATCAGCTTCTCATACTGATCCGCGTTCTCAGTGGAAGGTTGTTGTAACTTGCAGCACCTCTTTAGTAATCCCAATCATCCGCATGCGGAGGAGTGCTCGAGCACATGCCGCAAAGTGTCAAAACCGCGTCGGTTGCGGTCTCTCCTGCAAGAAAGCACCAAATGCGAAAGTAGCCGAAATGCTTCTTGTAAACAGGAATGCTCCTCCCCCACTTTCTTGGAAACATGCACCCACACACCAAGACCTCGATTGAAAAGCTGCAGCAACTCATCCGGAAGTGTGTCCCGTCCATACAGTCGTTGCAGATCCCAAGATTTCTGCCGTAGATTGGGCTCATGGCAAGTTGGATTCGTTTGGGTCGCCCACCAGTACACGAAAGTTGCTCAGCAGGAAAGCGCGCAAAGACGAGTTCAGTTCTTCCACATATTGGACTATATACTTGTCCCACCGGACAAGTGCAGCACATAGATCGGAATTGTCCACTGGAGCAGAAAATATCCCGCCAACTAATGCAACTAAGACCACCAGATTAGCCACGTGCGATGCACACCGGACACACCACAATCGCAAATCAACGCGTGTGCCGTGGTAGGATGCATTTTGCGCAAAGAAGGAGGACATCTTCTTGGCTGAGGCCAAATCTATATTTATCCCATCCCCAGTCAAATTGTAAATCAATCTCAGAGGTTGCGAAGGCCTTGTCGCTGGCTGGTCAAGCAATGACAGTATCACGTTCTTGGCAGTGTTTGCTAAAGCCTGCGCTATGGTATCAGAGTCTTTTTTCAGCAAAGGTTGGAATTCTGCGAAATACCCTAAGCCTACAGTCTTTCCACTGGGAAACTTCACACGCACAACCTCGTTCTGAACCTTGGAGTACCTCGCTCTCAGGGTCCGTCCCACCAGCTCCGAGTCAAAAGAGCGAAGCTTCAGGGAGGCTTCATCATGCAAATGAGAAACAATGATGGCCGGGGCTTTTCCTGATTGACTCTGCAAAGTTGTTGAAGCATGTTGAAGCCTCGAAGGTCACCTCTGCAACATTAGCTATTTTGATTATGAAGGCATCCCTCACTTGGGTGATGTACGTTCTGGACAGAACCTTAGCTTCCTCAGCCCCACAAGTCTTTGCACAACTCACTGAGGGACTGCGGGGGGATATTGGGTGGAGCCAGCCCAGCCCTAATGCACCAAATATGCTGCACTCACCCAGCTAGCTTTTCACCTTTGATCAAATCTACTTCAGCTTGCAGCTTCTTGCACTTGTGCCGCAGCTTTGCGCAACGAGACTGAAATTGTCGCACAATCAGCGAGCTTCTCAACTTGCGACGCTTGAATTGAAGGCATCCAAGTTCAAATAATGCTGCAAAACTTCAATCAGCTCCTGTGATATGCATTGATCGCTCAACGTGTGCCAAAGGATGCGATGTAGCATTCTGAACAAAAGCTTGCAGCAAGTTCTGAAGCTGCCATGCTTGTAAACGCACATTTTCCGACATGGGCGTACATAAAAGGAAATCTGAAGATACGAAAATGAAAGGGTTCTCTGACATTGAACGGAGAACATTCAAAGGCTATATACATTGTTTTATCATGTGCCGTTAGCTAGTCCAGTTATCACTTGAGTCACTCTACTTAGGTCACCCTCTCCTTGTGGACGCCAACTAAAACTCAGAGACAGCATTGAACAGGCTGCCTATCACATTTGAGACTACACTAACCAGGCTGTACCTAGGTGCAAGACACAATCTTGAAACCTTGAGGGCCTGTGTGATTTGCAACCTAAAATTGCTGTAATGGGCAAAGGGTGAACTCCTGGTTGCAGGACTAGACAGCTATGTTATAGGTAGCTTAGGACATTTGGATGTTACAACAACCGCTGGCAAACTGGGGGTTCAATCTTCCTTCGAAATCACCAGGACTGGGGGTGCTTTGTTTAGGGCTTGCCCTCTTCATTCTTCACATGTCTTCACTCGAAATTGACTAGGCTCCTCCTCATCAAAGTGCTCTGCGAGCAGCTGAGCCCACCTTGGATTTGCTCAAGGTAACCTGGAATAAAACCTAAACAATACTATCCAGAAGGGGGCTTGCCCATAGGTAAAAGAACAACAACCTTAAAAAAAAGCACCTCCCAGACGCTCCGTTCACAGGCCTTTCCCGGTCCCTCAAACCGGGACTGCTTCGGGTGGGGATGCCTGAACCGAGGATTCGGGTACGGTCCATGAGCGTCTGGGCTTAAACAAAACCAGGCCACGGCCTCAATGCCCAGTCACCACAGCGCCTCAATGCCCCCAGTGCACTCCGCGCCACCCGCGCGTCGTCGTCGTCCACGCAGCGCGCGAGCGCGGCGGCGTGCGGCGCCACGGCAGCGGAGTGGCCTTGGTGGCGAAGCCGAAGCGCGGCCGGTCGTGGAGGCGTTCAGCAGCTCTGAGGGGACTGGAAGAGTGACCCTGGAAGTCAAGTCGACTATTTTTAACTAAAACAGCTCCAGGAGTCACACGTCGGGGTGGTATTGGTCCCATCCAGGGGCCGTGGATGTGCTGTCGGGGCATTAGTCGTCACTTCCGCCGTTCGTCCAGCACCCCATCTTGTAACTCCTGGGTGGTTTGACTTGACTTGGGGTCATGGATCGACTCACTGAGAGGATCGACTCACTGGAAGTCCACCCAACTCCGAACTCGGAGCCTCATCATGTCAAGATCTGTGACCATCCTGGCTGGAGATCCTGGATAGTGGTCTGGGTGGGTGGCACCAAAAAAAACAGGATGATCCAGGTATGCTGTTCTCACACACCAGGAGTCACAAAATGGAGTGGTGTTGAGACCTGTTTAGATGTGACTTAGTCCCCAGTGAGTGGATGTGACAGGTTCGCACCCCGACGGCACTCCGGCGCGCTCCATTCGGAACCGGCCCCCCGAGTAGCTAGCGGTTCGCGTCCGATCGCTCGGGACTCGTAGCGATGCCAGGTTCGCCCCGTTCGTAGCGAACATTGTTACGTTCGTAGCGTCCATACATGTCGATATCTGATACATGGATGTTTTGGGGAAAGGATTCTTAGGTGAAAACCAAGTGCCTAGCAGGCACCCGTGGCCAATGATGGGCGAACAAAAGCACAAAGCTTAGTGGACTAAACCGCAGCTTGCCCGGTGCGACATCCGCTGTGGGGGAAAAGAAGGACACATGGAAATCACGTCGGCAATGTCCTGCCTGTCCTGTGAGCACATTCCCTGCTAGAAGGGCTCGGCTCAACCTCTGGGCACTTTACCATTAGGAGGACTACACCCGCTGAAGCTGAGACAGTGCCTGTGCAAAAAAATCTTCGGTGGAAGGGGCCAAGTCAAGAACTGCTTCAACCACCTGAAGGAATTCAGTTTGGCCACGCACCATGCATATTTATTGCCTGTAGCTGACCAATGCATTCTTTGTGTGACACGCGTTTGTTCCGCCAGAAAGTTCACCAACCACATCCCCAAACAGTGGTTTTGCATGGCATTCAAGATTTTGCTGCGCAGCCCTTCTTCTTCAACAACGCCAGTACCTGTTCCGATCAGCATCCCGGAAGAACTACCTTCGTTCCGCGAAGGTCGGCTGGGCTGGGTGCCATGTTTCGGGTCAAGTCAGACCGAACCGGGGAAAGGTATGGCTTCGTTCGCCCTTGTTAGCAACCAATCCCCACCACCCCTGTCCGCTGCCACTCGGTAGTGGCCAAGGCTCACCAACCCAAGGCTTGGCATGCTCCCCGACGGACTTTCCATGCGACGTCCTGGCGGACTTCTCGGCGGGGGTGGACGGTTCTAGCCGGACGAACGAAGCATGGGTTTGGCAAAGGGTGAAGCAAATGGTGTCCATCCCCTGAGGATCCATGGGGCAGCACCACCAGTCATGTTGGCCATATTGGCCGTCCCATGGATCGTTTGGGCATTGTATTCATTTGCCCTAGGGCTCCAGTCGTACCTCCTTTGAAGGTATTTGGGCCCTCTAAACCCGCCCCAAACACCTTCTTAGAAGGTACTTGGAGGCCTAGGGTTTTGGAGTGGGGGAACAAACCTTCCAAAATGGTCATTAAATGAGGTGCTTCTCCACTGACTGGGTATGCGGCCTGATGGGCACAAAAATCGACTGAACACGGGAGCTCAACGGAAAGCCTGAACACGATAGTTTTGTAAGTTCTCCCGGAAGATCTGTTTGCACACTCTGCTTTGGTCCCCCCACAAAAGTGAAACTTCTGAAAGGACCCTAGGGCCTTAGGGCTCCACCTCCGTTTCGGTTCGATGGGACAGGGGTGGGTGGTGACAGGGGGGTCTGACTTATCTAACCACCGGTCACCTGAGGACATGGGACAGCCCTAGGAGTTCATCTCCCAAAGAATGGACTCACCACTAACCAAGAGAGGTATCCAGTGACCGTCAATAGGGCCGTAACCTGGGGTACCGAACTGGGATAGTCGAACTGTCGGGTTCTGACCCACCTCTGTTGGAAGGTCTGCATGACTTCGACCGGTCGGCCAGACTCTCCCATTTAGGAGTCGCTGAGCACTGGGGCGGTGCGGTGCATGAGTGAGATTGCAACCTTGGTTATATAAACAAACCAGCCATTACAATGCAACACAACCTACAAACCCAGTCATATATATATATGACATTACAAGGTTACAATGGAATTTCATGTAGGTCATAACCTTGGAATTGAATAACCCAAACATGGCACTGTTCAACTAAACTTGTTGAACTGTGCGAATTTGCAACCCTGTTCAACTGCCAACATGTTTGGGTGGAGGTCAAACATGGCACTCCTAGCATAAGAAGACGCCGAGCATAAGAAGGTATAATTAACATGATGTAAAAAAACAAAGGATGCATGTTCCCAAAGCCCATGATGACGGCATTAGTAACCACCAGGGCGGTGGAATGTGTGCTGTGTGGGTGTTTGTGCGGATCTGTCTGCAATGCATGTATCCTCTTCAATCTCTTCATCTGTTTGAGGGTGTGGTTCTTATGCCTCTGCGGGGCAGCAGGAAAACAACCGCCAAAACCACTGCAGCGCACATGCACTGCGAACACGTTGGGCCACCAGACACCAGACACCAAGAGAGGTATCCAGTGACCGGTTTCATACGGACCCGGAAAACCTGGGGTACCGGGACTCCTGGGATAGATCGAAGAGTCGGGTTCTGACCCACCTCTGTTGGAACGCTGGGCGTCGCCCGGTCGCCCGGTGGGATCGGATAATACCCACAACTTGCATGAGAAAGCACGGCAAGGATTGGCAGTACCCCAGTGTATGGCAGTCCCATGGAGTGTCTGGGATTTCCATACGCGGTCAGTTGATAACCTTTAAGTTTCCCAGACTCTATGGGACTGCCATAGGACTGCCGATCAGTTGGGGTGGTTTGAGGGGTCAATGTAGGCATATATGGCAGTCCCATGGAGTGTCTGGGGTATGGCTGCCAAGGCGTCTGTTACATCCGTGAGACACCGGGTACGTTCGTGTAAGAGTGTTCTCCGGCGCTGTCCGCGGAAGCCGTTGAAGTGACATTCCGTGCCTGTGGCCCCTTGATTTTGATCTAGTTGCTTGCCAAAGCGGGAAGAAGAACAAACCAGAAGCCACAAAGAGGTGGTGTTTAGTGCCTAAGTGAGTGGATGGTCTGGGCACCCCTATCCTCCATTAAGCACCCGTTTGTGACTGCTGGAAGAACACCCCTCATTGTTTGGAGGATTCACCCAAGGAGAACAAGAACCCGAAGGTGCTCCAGTCGTACCTCCTCAGGTTAGGTAATTGGGACCCCCTAAACTCACCCCAAACACCAAATCTCACAAGGCACGACTGGAGTCCAAACCGTGCTTTCGTTTCTCGCACCTCCAAGCAGCTGGCCAAGGTGGAAGCTTCCGGGCTTAAGTAGTCCGGATCCTGCGCGATCGCTCGTGGTAGTCTAGACTCTAGAACAATCGCCCTGCAAATGAACGGAGGACCTGGTAAGAGTTAAGGATTTGAACTAAGGTGTACGGATCCTTACCAATGATTGTGACCTGTTTTTTGTGCAACATCCTTAGTCAGCCAGTAAGCCTTAGTCAAGCAACGGTTGCTTGGTGCGCCAGGAATTGTAGGGCATCCCATCCATTGGGTCTATCCAAGTCTACCTGGTTTCAGTGGATGATGGTGACTGTTCCAGGCCTTGTCCAAACATAGTGATGCCCTTGTGAAACTTGACGGCTCTACAGGTATAGGACAGACCCCATCCATCATCCACTGGGCCACGACCGTCTAGTACAAACCAGTTCTGAACAGCACTCGATCCCACCTGACCAGCATTTTCGGCCGCCACCCTGGCCAGCCTGGTGCTGGCTCCCAAGCTGGTCAGGAGAGTGCCCGGGATCAGAATAAGGTCAAAGCATGTTAGAACTGTCCATCTGCATGCATGTTCATGTTCAGTTTTGGTGGGAAGCGTATCCCCTCAAACAGGTGTTTTCCAGGATGTTCAAGCTGATCCTGGCTGGCGTGATCAGCTAAGCCATGTGTCCTGCCATTCGTCTGACGTCCTCCCGCCCCGGTCCTCCAATCGCGCCAACACGCTCAGCACAAAGCTCCGCACCAGCACATCCTTCGCGCCACCGGTTTGCGCCAGTCGTCTGCCGCGCGGAGCAGTGCAGAGCTCCTTGGAGGCTGCTCCCAGGAAGCTGGTGGTGAAATCAACGGCCAGGTATGGGGCGACCATGTGATGCCTGCTGAAAGTCCCCCATGGAAGGATTTCATGGTAGAACCGGGTAGGACATGGTAGGACTTCAGTCAGTTTTCCAGGTCTGGGGATTCACCCGAGCTTCTGCAATGCGGCCCTTCAGGTGGGCTGCCAGCTGTGAAGGCGGCATGGGCTCCAAGGCCTGTGGTGCCACGTCGTCGCTGGAGAGCTACCACACCGCGGGCCGTGAACGTGAACGGCCCGATCTGAAGGAAAATGAAATTGACATACACTCTAAAGTAACCCCGGAATCAGATTCGGCTTCATTGTTCTGTTCCATTTTCCAAGGTTCCCTTGACATAGCAAAGAGTGTGTATCACACTGGCCGGGCCGTGCCGTGCCAATGTCGACCCATCCCGCTTGGTCGTGTCGACCCATCCTCCGTCCGACCCGTCCGCGGCGGCCTTGCAACAGGACCAGCGGACCAAAGGATCCTTCGACCGAAGCTGACGCGCTGACCGGGCTGGCCACATGAGACGATTGAGACGCCTCATGGTAGCACCAACAAAGATGGGTCAGAACCCGACAGTTCGACTATCAGTTATCCCAGGAACCGGTACCCCAGGTGACGGGTCCTATGTACGGTCACTGGATACCTCTGGTAAGGCTTCCACAACTCGAAGTTGGCGGCTTTCTGTTCCGATGCACTTGGAGCCTTAGCTTCGGGACCCAAGCCCCAGGCCGGGGCGCAATCGCATGACATGAAGCTGGCACATTCAGAGAAAAGTGCAGCGTACACAGACTCAACAATGCAGGAGATGCGGATACAATAAGGCTCAACTGAGGGGATAAGCACACAGACTTGAAAAAGCTTGAAAGCTCCCGCAAGTGGGGGTGCAGAAGAAGGTCTTTCATTGCTTTACATCCATTGAAGAAGATCATTCGATGTGAATAGAACCAGTTCTCGTTGTTTCTTGGGAAGCCAATTCGCATGCTCCGCATGTGGAAGGTCCACAAAATAAAAATACATACCAGCACCCACCAGAATATACATACATGTGGAATTGGTGGCATGTCGATGTCGGTCTTGAGTCTTGGTATATAAGCCCTAGCTAGGATTGGAAGAACCATTGCTTCGATGGTCTCTACCAGTATAGTTTTACTAAGGATGTCACACTTCAAAACCAAATCAACCATATTGAACATGGTTTTGGACTTCCAGGGTACATACTGTAGAAATCATGTTGGACCAATAATTTGACCCTTGGACCACCAACCGGCAACCATCCCAAATACATCGGAGGTCGATCGCCCACTTCCACAACTTGTTTTTGTGACATTGAGTGAGTTGTGTCAACGCAAGGGTTGTTCACTCAAGGATCAGCCTTCTGCCACAGAAGAACCTCAGAACATCTTCTCACCAGAACCTGAGAACTCTCTTTGCCATAAGGGCTCTCCACACCTCACCCCAGCTGGATCGCACCATATCTATGTTCCTAACTCATGCATATAACCAAACAACCTATCTCCTCACCTCCTCCTCCTCCTCCTCCCACCGTCCCAGTTCGCTCCTCATCCTGCAGCGCCTCCAGCAGCAGCCCCGCCACCGCCGCCACCTCTGCCACCTCCGCCGCCCGCGCCGCAGCCGCGGCCGCCGCCGCGGCGGAGCGGCGCACAGCGACCGCGGTGCGGTCGGAGAGGCACAGCCCGAGCCTCGGGCGGCTCAAAGCACCTGGTTATAGAACCCCAAGACCAGCTGGTTGTAGAGGAAAATAGTCTAAAGGTCTAAGGTTCCGTGTGAAAAAAATTCCGGGTGGAGCTGGCTGAAAAAGAAGACAGATTGGCTGAAGCTGATACTGCAAACGCATGCAAACGCACGCTGCTTCCATGTGTTCCAAGATGTTCCAATCATTTCAGGGAGTGTAGCAGGGTGTTACAACCAGCCTCCCTTTGCTTGTGCGCCGTGTCGTGGTTTGGTTCTCCCCAGCGGCACGTCCGGATCGAGAAAGGCTTCCGGCTCCAGGTGTTCCAGTGCACGGCAGGCAGTGGAGCGGACGAAGAACTCCGGATCCTTCAAGCAGCCCAGCAAGACACCTGATGCTGAGCAAGACACCTAGACCGGCAGCCCACTGCAGAGGTCTCAGAGACCAGGACGTTCGGACCCTGGGATGGGTGGTACATCTGGGATGGGCGACCTGGATGGGCTGTGAAAAACCTCTCTAGGTAGACACTGCCGTCCGAAGGACTAGCCACACCTGGGGTGTTTGGGGGGGTGTCAATGTGTGAATCGATCCCATGCTGGAGCATCAGGCTTGGGTGTTACAAATGATGTTTTGCGAGGGGCACGAAGACTAGGTTCTAGAAAGGTCAAGAGCTTTTGTGACTTTTTTTCCCACTTTGAAATGCTGAGCAGTTCAGGTTTGGCTTTCCGAAAATGATTTGGGGAGCATAGCCTGGTGCGAAAGGTCATCATTTCAGCAGAACTCATTGAATAATTGTCTTTCCCACGTTGCAAGTCTTCCAAAAGGGCGTCCTCCGAGAACTGTGTGGGTGCAAAACATATACCCGGACTCGACTTCAAGTACCCTAGGAACGAGGTTGCGCTCCGAGTCATTCCCATGGAAGCGGCGACCTCGCCTTCTTGGTACTCGGAGAACTGATCACAAGCGGTCGTCTCTCCGCAAGAGGACACGGTGATGCCAAATGGCTCGGTTTAACATGGTTTAACTCCTCTCGTAAAGGGGGGTCTGATGGCCCACGGTGACTTGAAACGTGCGTAAGTCGGTGGTGAGGCAACTTGCACAGTAACTTTTTTGCTGTGGGCTCCGGAAAGGTCTCCGTTCAAAGGCCCCAAAAAGAAGTCCAGTTCGACGATGTTCTGAAGTTCACTGAAGTTCAGTTCGAGTACAGGAAATTCCTAGACTCGGGTCACCCAGTCACCCAGTCAGACCATTCTTTGTGTAGTCTGTGGCTCCGAAGCACTTCTTTCTCGCTCCTGTGGGGTTCTCTCGAGGGATATTCGCCCTGCTGGACGGTCCTCTCCCGGGGTTTGTGGGAAGTCCTTGCATGAATGCCGCGACCCATTCTTGAGGTGAATGATATCTACGCTGGGAAATTCAATGCAGAATCTGAAGGGTTCACTCCAGCAATCTGTCCTGCTACGAGAAGACTTGAGATGCTAGTCACTCATAGTCACCCTACTCCTTCCTAGGATGTGCCAGGGTGTTCCAGCACTACATCTTCATCACCGGCTTCGATCACGTTTGCCGACCAAGAAGCCACAGTGCTCACGCAGCTCCTGGCTTCTTGTGTGGAAACTGGAGGGGCACACAGGGGCCCAGGGCGGAAAGGGGGGGAAAACAAAGCAACGTGTCTCAAAACAGCAGCACGCGCGACGCGCACGCGCCACGCGCGCACAAGAGCAAAAGATACATGACAAGCAACGTGTCCTCAGTGGGAATACCTGCCAGTTCGACCTCTTCGTCTCGTCTCGTCTCGGCTCGTTCGGCCGGTTCGCTTCGACCCGTTGGGACCGAAAAACGACGAAAAACGAAGGACCTGGGGACCTGGGACCGGGTGCTGGTATGTAATGGTGTGAATGTATATACCAGCAGCCACAAAGGGTGCGATCCATGGAGGTTGGGGGTGCCCAGAACATCCACTCACTTGGGCACTAAACACCACCTCTTTGTGGCAGGGTGTCCTGGCTGGACTACCCCACACGACCTATAGGCTTCCAGACAGGGCACCCCGACAGGAGGGTCCTGGTATATACTTATTCTTATTGTTCCCTGCTTGGGTTACTACTTAGGAGAGCTTCTTCTTTCCAGTATTGTGGGGCATTTTGTCCTGGTGGATTTTCTATAAGTTGACGGTTCACCGCCTTTTCAGTGTCACACATGTCACACTTGCCACTCATGAGTGGGGCCCAATAAACCCACAAAAGAAGTGGTAGATGGTGGTGTTTTTGTTCGTCCAATTGGTCATCTTGGTCATGCTAGACCCCGTGCAATTCTGCGTCCAAATGCCAGGAAGAAAAATACACACAAGCATTCAATCATATTAAATCCATCACCCAGACCATCCATGGGACTGGAATATATGTCTACATTGAGCCCAGGTCAATGCAACCATCCCAACTGATCGGCAGTCCTATGGCATACATTGATGGAGTGGTTGGGATTGATGATGATCTGGTCTTTTCGAAGCTAATGACATTAGTAGTAGTACAGTGATCTGCTAAGAGACGTACGTGTTTTTGCCTAAACCCTTTCGAAGTGTCTGCCAGTCCTATGTAGGCCAGTCCGGACTGGCAGTCCCACGTCGAGAGGGACTGGGTCCAGGAACCTGGACCGGCTTCCGTTCGACCATTCAAAGAGTTCGGGTTGACCTGGGCTTTTTGTAGTGTAAGATCCTGAGTGAAACAGCTGGTGGTTCAGGAATCAGGCCATTGAAACAATGGTTGGCCAGGAAGCCTATAGGGTGGAAAAAGATCCAATCATATCCCAGACACGACCTGTCTGGGACTGGAAGATATGCCGCCCCAGAAAGTCCCCAGGTCCACCACCCCCATGGTTTGCGAATATGGCAGGACCTCTCCAGGACCTTCAGGTCTTTTTCGGTCATTCCATGGAGTCAAGACGTCATGATGACGTCAGATATGACAAGTGTCAATGGAGTACTCAATTGACACAAATAGTCCATTTTCCCCGCCTCTGCAGGCCAACCGCTAGTTCTATTTGACTAGTTGGCTGCGTGAGAACTCCATTGACACTCGTCCATTCAACTCTTAGAAGCCTCCCTTCGTCACATCGGTCTCGGCCACGGCCACCGACATGTCGTGGTCTCCTCCTCCGGCAACACGGCGAGCTCTTGACACGCCGTCCAACGCTCCACCGGATCCTTGGACGAAGCGAAGGTCTGGATCCGAGTGAGAAGAGGATGCCTGGCATTGTTCATGTCCACGCATTCGACTCATGTCCACATGGCGGATGAAAAAACGGGAGAGGCAGGATGCCCCCTTTTCTTTTTTTTACTGAAAAGCGCGCACCTGACAAGCAGGGCCCTGGAAGTCAAGTCGACCATGTTATTGGTTTTGTAGTGTAACACCCTATAGGTCAAACAATGGTTGTTTGGGATGATCTGGCCATTAAAAAAATGGTGGTTCGACTGGTAGGGAAGGGAAATTGAAGCTTCAGAACGAACAAGTGGAGCAACTCCAATTTTTCAGCCCGCTCTTCGATCCCCAGCCTGCGGGCGCGATGATTCGTGTCATGGGGACGTACTTGGGGTCAGAACCCTATAGTAGAGCTCCAGTTAATTAAGGTGGTGTTTGGGGTGGGTGCCAGGAGGGTGCAAATGCCTTCCGAGAAGGTTCTTGGAGCCAGGCAACAAAGAAAACATAATTGAATTAAGGAAAAAGAACGAAACCAATTCCCCATGGACAAATCACCACACCGAGGGAAAGCCATGCAAGTCGCTGGTCTCGTGATTCTTGCCAAAACGCTCCGTTCACAGCCCTTGGTAGGGGTCCGATTTTAAAATATTGTCTAAATGGACAGGGTCGCGTGTGGATCTGTTCTTGTGGGTAGGACCCCTGCCCCGCCCCCTCTCCCCAGAAAGAAAAAACAACGGTAAAACAAAAACACACGCACACACTATCACACACCTCCCCTCTTTCCAAACACAAAACCACACGCAGTGTCCTTTGGTTTCAGAGTTCCTTCCAGGCTTTTTGGGGCTTCAGGAGACAAAAAACACCACGCGAACTACCACGGGACGGCCAGATCGTGGCCTCCCCAGTCCGCCTCACCTCATCCCTGCACCTCACATGATTTCAATGAGACCGGGTAGTTCTGCCCTCCCCCGCCATGGACCCACCGTCCGTGCGCGGGGACCTGTGGGGACCGAAAAATGGCCCACTCGCCGAGGATCTCGGCCCGTGAGTCGCTGTAGGAGCCGCTGCTCCATGGATGTCGCTCACAGTCGCAACACTGGTGGAGGGACCCACCTGGCAGTGGTGGGGGGGCGGCAGTGGTGGGGCGTCCGAGTGATGGAGGAGCCGGGTGGCGCCTGAGAGAAGCAACGTCGGCCATGATTGATGGGCCATGAATGACCACACAAGGTCCAAAAGTAGCCTAAATAAACTATATAGACATGGTCTACAACAACGCAATTGTTCCATGGCATGCCAAAAAGGGCCAGGGGTAGGCCCACTCTGTGTCAAGAACATTCCCAAACACTCCATGTATGCATGTATGGAATAAATATGCCTACATTGACCCCCCCAACCACCCCAACTGATCGGCATATATATGACATGCATGGAGCGTTTGGGATTTACAATGAGAAACCATGTCAGGTGAGGCCACTCCGCTGCACCTGACTGGTCGTGAAGTCTGAAGTGGCACGACCAGGCCCCCGTGTCAGGAACCCATCCTAAACCAGCGGGTCTGATGTTCTGCGATATGGTTCCTTCGAAGAGTTCGCAGGAACGTTAGGAACTTTGCTCAGAAAGTGCATAGCAAACAGAACCCGCGGATAGACCCTTTCAGATACCCGGGTAGGATGTTTCGCGAATGTGCGTGTGCGTGTTCCCTCGTGCTATGCAGCAAGCCCCCCTGGACATCTTTTCTGGCGAAGTCTGGGAGCTTTTGACCCGGTCGGAGCGCGTTTCGCGCTCAGACTTGGCCCTTGAAGTCTTCCGCGTCCTCCTTCGGGCCTGCGGATACCGGAAAACACGCGGGCAAAGCATGGAACGAACACGTGTCCACAGAATCAGCAGAAGCCAGAAAACAACCTCAGATCGCCACAAGACAGTTGAAGAACTTTACTGAAATCCCACTGATCTGCACCTCTAACACTATAGGCTCAGGTCGGTTCGGTTCGCTCGCAGATGTTGGACATTCGTTTCTGGAGTCTCACCTCCCAGCTTCTCCAGCACAGCCAGGAGCATCTCGGATTGCTGCTGGGACACCTCCACCTGACCAAGAGAGGTTATATAAGTGACCGGTTTCATAGGACCCGGAAAACCTGATGTACCGGGACTCCTGGGATAGTCGAACAGTCGGGTTCTGACCCACCTCTGTTGGTGATCTCCAAGTTCTCCAAACTCCAAAGGGATCGGGTCGGGTGGGGGTCCCTGATCGACCCCACAACCCGAAGACCGAAGTGGGGAAGACCGGAGCGTTTCGGTCGGGGATTCACCGGGAGACACCGGTGGAACCACCGGGAAACACTGGGAGGCTCCAGGAAGAAGATCGTTTTTCCACGCGCCCTTCTTACACTGGAGAGCTGTGAGCTGGAGAGCCGCGATTCTTGCCGAGGCCAGTTTTTGCAGGTGTTGGGACGTTTAGCTGCACAGACGCTCCGTTCACAGCCCGACCTGGGTCCCTCCAAACCGCTTCGACCGATTCGACCCCCCTCCCCTCCAGACCGGATTCGGTGCCGAGTTCAGCGTTGCGTGGCTTCGTGAGTCGGTGGTGATTCTCGTGGATCGCACGAAGGCCTTCAAGGCCTCCAGCGATGAGAACAAGCAGGTAGTCCGACCTTCGATGGGATGAACCATGGCCCAAACACGACCTGTCTGGGACTGCCGCCCCAGACCCCCCTTTAAGATCCTTTAAGCACCACCCCTGGCCGTTTCTCGGCATATATGTGGCAGTCCTATGGGTCGCGTTTGGGTTGGTGAACCCACCACCGCGCACCGCACCTCTCCTCGCGCCTGGCGTTGCTGGGCGCGCGAGGCCTCACGAGCCTCATCCAGGTGGCGAGACAGGAGCTTCAACTCCTGCTGGGAGGAGCTCAGCTTCCGCTCCAGGTCCTGCAGACAAATCAGGTCTGTAGGGAAGATCGGGTGCTTTTCTTCGGTTCAAATACGTTCAAATGGCATATTCTTCTGCTCAAGTCTTGTGAGTCGGGTTCTGACTTTCTTCATAATTCTGACCGTACCATTTGCAAGAGACATGTTCTTCTGATGAAGTGTGATGTGAGAGGTTTGGGGAAAGTGGGGGGTTGCTCATGGGCATGCCTTCATGAAACGACTCTCCTGCCAACAGCCTCAAAGAAACCAAAACAGTGCCCATAGGGTCCAGGTACCTCCTGAGGATGGCCTTGGAGGTGAAAGTACTTCCTGAGAATGGTCTTGGGGGGTCAAAGGACATCCTCAGGATAGTCCTGGACCCTTAGGGGTGGGTATAACATGACGCAATAAGCATACTTAAGTCGCCCCGTGGCATGTCACTAGTTACTAGTCTCTTCGAACCTTGAATCACCGTCAAAAAGAACCAACACATACCAACACCTATACCACCGACCCGATCTCTTGAGGCCTCTGTCGGAGGCTTCTCTTTGCCCTATAGGGATCCACTGCCACCAGACCTCAGGTTCGGTAGGACTGGGCCCAACCCTGGCGCCTACATCAATAGGCTCCAATCACCGTACCTGAGAAGGTACTTGGATCCCTAGGGTTGACAAACAAAACACAGGATCACCCACCTCGGACCTTATAGGAGATGTTCGGAGGCGGACTTCAAACGTTTCAAACCCCCCCGGTCCCGACGAGTCCCGCACACCGCGGCACCATGGGACAGCAGGTCCGTCCTTGTTCTGCTCGACGAGTTCAACCCGTTGGCCTGGGAGACCCGTGGAGCGTCGAAGAGGTGGAGTGACTTGGCGTCGTCGTGAGGTGCTGGTCTTGGCGTAAAAAAACACGCTCCATGAACCTGGAAGAAAAAGGCTACCAGGAGTCACAAGTACCGGGTGGTGTGGTTCGTCCCCACATGAGTGGATGTGACAGGGGCACCCTGTAACACCTCCATAATGCACCGCCGTGTGACTGCTGGGCGGACATGTATTTTTGTCCACTGTTTTCTACCACGTCAAGTACCAGCACCGAAACCAACAGGTCACCACTGAGTCGCGACTTGAAAAAGTCTACGGTCGACCGCCTCCGGCCATCGGAGACCTGTTGGTGGTTTCGGTGCTGGTCGAGGAGTGAATGGATGATCTGGTCTTTTCGAAGCTGCTGGGACTCGCAAAGGGGTTAACAAACACTCCTTAAGGAGGGGGTCCAAAGCATAAGTCCGCCGGATAGCTTCTGACCTCTCCGGTGACTTCTCCATATTTTCCGCTGGGTCTTTTCAAAGCAACTCTCTAGTGCCCAGTCCATCTGCGAGGTGTCTACAAATAGCATCAAATAGCCTCTTAAAAAGGCTAAGGGGTGTCCAAAAATCATCGGACTTGGAAGGTCCTGGTACTAACCTTCGAAACAATAGGCGGAGCCAGCGCTCAGAACCCAACACATCTCGCTCAAGTTCGACGACTTGACACCTACACCTGTCTCAATGGGAGAAAAACAAGAACCAGAAGGTCCACATCGGGGTGCTATCCATGGAGGATAGGGGTGCCCAACTGGGTGCTCCTGTCACATCCACGGCCCCTGGATGGGATGATGGGACGAGCAACACCCAACTCCGTGATCAGTGACTCCGCGCTGCCGCACCGGCCGCGCACAACACTGTTCGACCAACTCAGGGGCTCTTGAGAGTTTCGACCTCTTTCTCGTAGCTGTTCCGCAACTGCTCCACCAACTGCTCGCTCCTCGCGAGCAGTGGAGGACACAGGGAGGTTCAGACCATGCGCACAGCGCTGGGGCCAGAACCCCCGTCTTCTCACGATGTCAGTGTTCGGCACTCAAAAAGAATCAGCAACGCCTGGTCAGGTGGGTGGTTCATGTTGACTGTAAACTGCGATAAGAAGATCCCGGGCCTACAGTACTTGTCGCCTTAACAAAAGTCCATGGAATGGGGACATGCGGGGGACCAATGCGGAAGCACTTTCGTCCTGGCTCTGGCTTCTTGAAGTTGCTTCTGAAAAGTTCGCTCCAGGGCAATCCTCACAGTGCCATGGTCTGCGTGGTTGGAGCCTTCTTGGGACATAGCCGTGTTGGATTCCAAAAAGCTTTACTACAAACAATGCCTTTCTCACTGTTACTCCTACCAGCAGTCACAAAGGATGCTTAATGGAGGTTAGGGGTGCGCAATATCCCCTCACTTAGGGACAAAAAACCGCCCCTTTGTGACTGCTGGTGTAAGGCTTTGCCGAATAGACTGAACATGGATCAGGGTTCACCCACTTGGTCGCCTTGAAGTCTAGTGAAATCTTAATCCGACGACTGACTTTGGATGATCAAATGAAAGCTTCCTCAGCCACAAAGACTCAAAACATCTCAAAACCAACTCGTATTGTAACTGGGCAGCTGGAGGGTGGCCCACAGCGCAGCCCCCCCTTGATTGCTTGACCTCAAAAATGTCCACGAACACCGTGGAACTTGAAACAACATGGCGCATTGAATCAATCATAAGTCGTTGGTGGTGTCAGCTCATGACTTTAAAAGATGGATCAGTGGGTTCCATCATCCCAAGCCCTGGAAGTCAAAGACCATTATTAACATGGTTGATCTGGTTTTTGTAGTGTAAAACCCTTAAGTAAAACAATGGTTGTTCGGGATTCGGGCAATTAAAACCATGGTGGATCGACTTCTATAGGGAAGTACAGGTTGAACTGAAACCGCCAGAAGAACATTCACCTCACTGCTTCTTGGCCGACAAGGATCAATTGCTTGTCATGCTCGACCTGCATCTGCAGCTGGTTCCGCTGTAGCTCCTGTTTGCTCCGTTTGCTCGGTGTGGGCGGATCGGACGGACGGATGGACCGACGTGACTCGTGTCTCCCTACGTAGGGTTGGGACATGTTGGGAAGTTGCGTGCAACAGAAGAAGCCGTCCGAGTCAAAGACTGCATAATGGCAAAAGCAAGGGCCTGACTGATTAGACCTGTTCATAAACATGTTCCTGGACATCACTCGGAACAAGGTCTTTGGAATTCTTTTGCGCTTCTACACCCATGTCTTTCCCGCCTTAGCTCGCCAGGTTTCACCCCTTTCGTTCTTCCTCGCCCCCTACGCAGCTCATGACTTCCCTACGCCCCGTGCGCGACCGTGACCTCCGGCGACGTCCGCCGCCCGACCCCGGGGAAGCGCCCGAGCGACGGGGGAGGCGCCTTGCTGCGGAGCTCGGTGAGCATTTGCATCACCGAGTCCTGGAGTGCGCCGTCCACGGAGAGTGTGGTGCGGTGACGGTGAGAGTGTGGACGGGTGGGGAGTGCTCACGGACGAGGCGGACGCCACCGTGTGCCCTTTTGGCAGGGCGCGTTTGGTGAAAGCGATTCCCATATCTGGGGCTGGCCCACATCCTCAGGTGGTTGGGGTGGGTGGTTTGGGGGGGTCGAACCACCGGACCTGAGGATATGGGACAGGAGTACTAGGGATTGTCCCTCGCTTTCAACCCTGCCAGAAACCCCCACAAACCATCAAAAACTGGTAAGAACATGGTTTTGAGGGCCCCTGGTAACAACAGCGTCCTTGAGGCTGTCCAACTCCGACTTCGGCACCCCCAGCTGCGTGCTGTGCACCGCCGCCGCGGAGCTCAGCGCCGAGCTCTGCGTGCCGCGGCGCTGCTCCGAGTTCAAGCGGTCCTGGCCACAACCAACCCGTGAGACATATGACCAATTTTTTGACCAAACTCTTCAGCATATTGTGCTCTCCTGCATGATCTTCATCTGTTCCTTCAAGGTCCTCTCCGCATCCAAGAGCTGTGCCTTCTCCCGCGCGGCCTTCTGCGCCGCAGCTTCCGCGCTCCTGCGGGTGCCCCCCAACAGGGTGGGCTTCTTGGGGCCCACGCTGTGGGGTCTCAACCGTTGGTTCGTTTGCCCTGGCGTGCGGGGTGTTCGGTGGGTCCGGCGGGTGTGTAAACAGTTGGTGTTGCAGTGTTGCCATCATTTAAGACATGAAACTCCTATCCAGGTAGATCCAGGTAAACGATCGCTTCATAAGGAGTGTGTCCTCCCCAAATGGTCTCTGCTGCAACTCATGCAAATCAAAAAAATGCTCGGTTCCCCAGAACATATATATGTTTAAACCCCTACAGGCGCTGTCGTCCAATTTGATGAACAAGCACTTGGCAAGTACCAGGACACCCGGGCCAGGGGTGTCGAACTTGATAGCCCCTTAGGCCCTTAGAGATGATTCGGGGTATCCATTAACCACCCCGACTGTGGGTCCTAGTAGATGTCCCGTTTTTTTCTCAAAGGCGTCAAGGCTACAGCATATTCAGCATGGGACCTGGACGTCAGCGACCCTCCTTGAGATCGGATGTTCGGTCACCAGCAGGCCTGTTCTTCGAGGTCAGCGAACCGAAGGTCCAACCTTCTAGCTGAACCTCATAGGAATGGCCAACCTAGTAGCTTCTTGCTACTACTAGTAATGGTCTCCACCCTAATAGCGATGGCCTCCAACATAATAGCAAAAGGAACTCAAGGCTAGCGAAGGTCTTGGTGTATGTGCCTTTACGTCTACACCGTCTACACATGAGAAGAGACGCCGCATCGCTCTCGACACGTCGCCGCCTTTTTGCTCAGCCCCAAGCAACAACCGCACAACTTCGAAGTGGCCTCCCTCAGATGCAAATTGCAATGCCGTTCCTCCGTCTGCAGTTGCAGCTTTGTCAACTCTAGCCTCAAGCAACAGGCGCGCAACATGGGAGTGGCCATATCCAGCTGCATATTGCAAAGGCGTTCTTCCGTTTGCTGTTCTCGCATCTTTGTAGCCTCGAGCAGCAACTGCACAACATCCAAGTTGCCACTTTGAGCTGCCCCATGTAATGCCATTCCTCCGTCTGCTGCTGCCACATCCTTGTCAGCTCCAGTCCCCAAGCAACAATCGCACAACTCCCAAGTGGCCTTCCTCACATGCAAATTGCAATGCCGTTCCTCCGTCTGCAGTTGCATCTTTGTCAACTTTAGCTTCGAGCAGCAGCCGCACAACGTGGGAGTGGCCATATCCAGCTGCATAATGCAAGCACGTCGCCCCATCTGTCATTGCTGCATCTTTGTCAGCTCCAGCCTCGAGCAACAACTGCACAACTTCCAAGTGGCCGTTTCCAGCTGCCGAAATCAATGCAGTTGCTCCGTTTCCCGCATCTTTGTCAACACCAGCCTCAAGTAACAACCGCACAACTTCCAAATGGCCATTGCGTGCTGCAACTTGTAATGGTACATTGCCGGTATTTGCACATCTCACATTTGGATCCTGGGGTTTTTGAAGCAAATTCTCAACTTCGCCCACCCTATTGTTCTCGCACGCATCAAGCAGCTGCTGAGTGAGAATCTCGTCAGGAGCACAAAAGTTCAGGATGACCAACTGCACAGTGGGGAGCAAACATAGTGGCATGTCATCTTGCAATTCACCAACCTTGTCACACAACAGTCGCTGCCGAAACCTTGAGCATCCAACCTGCTCTGAGAGGAGCTTCTTTAAGTGCCGAATTGATTTGGCAGCTTCCACCATGCTACGCAATTCATCTTCATCCAGCCGGGCAACTGTTGCGCCAGATGCAGCTACAACCTGCATACTTGATGCTTAAAATTCAATCCATACATGGATGGTTTGAGTATAATTAATAATCTGGGTTTATCACCTCTGCTAACAGCTGTTTGTCAGGGATGCATCTGCCTCCCTAGGCCTCCAGTCGTACCTTCCTTTCGGGTCCAGTGCGGCTAGGGGCGGTGCCAGGGGTCGGGTCCAGTCATACCGAACCTGAGGAGGTACGACTGGAGCCCCTACCGTTACCCAACCGTTACGGAGGTGTCGACATCACACGACACACCGTCGACATCACACGACACACCGTCGACCGACCTGCGCGCTTCGTCCAAGCGCCGCTCGAAGTCCAGTCGCTCGGTGAGCAGCTGCCTGGAGAGTGCCGCGAACCGCCGGCATCGGAGGCCGAGGTTCCCGGTCGGTCGGCGTCCCGAGGTTCCAGCGGTTTGACCGAGGTCGGCGTCCTGATTTGATGGTGTTTACCGAACAACCAGCGGTTTTTACTATATATTGACAGGTCAACCGAGCTCTTTTAAAGGTCTTGGAAGGCTAGGGCATAGGTACCCCAGGTGACGAGTCCTACTTGCACGTGCACTGGATAGCTTGGTCTTGTTGGTGCGCCCCCAATACTGACCCGTGCTGGGGGCGCACCGGCCCGTGCCTCTGCGCATCCTCGGGCGCCTTCAACTGGAGAATCCGGGCTTCGCTTTCCGCCAGCTGCTGCTTGAGCAAGCTCTTCCTGAGAATTCACGAGAAGAAGGGGCGGAGCTGATCGGAAGCCGATAGCTTTTGGAGAGACCGCTTGAAGTGTTCTATGCCTCCCTAGGGCTCCAGTCGAAACGTGCCTAGGAAGGGTGCGAGGGTCCAAATACCTTCTGAGGAGGTACGACTGGAGCCCTCGGGCCTGACTTTCTTCATATTTATTCCAGCCGACGTCCGAGATAAGCATGATATATGCCAGCACCTTCCAAGGGGCCACCAATGGAAGCCCCTACACCACGGTGCACACCATTTTTCCCTTCGTCCTCTGAGGATGTACTTGGAGCCCGATAGGGGTTGATATCTTGAATGGGTCTGGCAATGACTTTCCTGACAGCAGAATACAGCAGAGACGTGGTCGTTCAAGAACCTTCCAATTCTGCAAAACCATGCATGGCTTTGGCATGCTTTGGGTATGTTTGGGTGTTTAAGGATGCTTCATTGATGTGAAAAAACATAGTCACTTCGTTGATCTTATAACTTGCAATGTATTGACACTATCCATTCCATGAGTACTATGAGATGGCACCCTCTCCAGGCTGCCCAACACATAGACCCAACACGACGGTGAAGGTCCGAGGTCGGATGAATTCAGCTCCACTGGACTGAAACATAACACCATTAGAATCAGAATCGTCCTATCAACAAGCAATTGGTTTGTCATGCATGTGACTCATGTGTCACAAGATGCATGCATGTGTCACAATATCCTTTTGCGTCGCGCGTTTTTTTCGCTGCTCCCTGCACCGTGCATCTCGCTCTCTCCGCTCTCTCTCCGGGCACCGCGGATTCCAAGTCTCCTCTCCTCTGCTCCCACCTGCGAGACCCGGCGGTGACCGGCGGACAGGATCATGGCACCGGGATCGGACCTGGGTTTGTCTTGGCGAGCGAGAACAGCATAGCCTTGATCCGAGTCTGAGGGTGGATGATGGTGACGGGCCTTGCAGGCCTTGGTTCAAAGATGATGATCATTGATTATACTGACTGTTAACAGGTAAGAACGGACAGACCCTAAGCATAGCCTACCTGGTACGAACGGTCACTCTGGTGAGGTGGAAGGAACAGGCGCCATGACCCACAGCGCAAACAGGCTGGAGAAGGAGGAAGGAGAAGGGCCAGTCTTCAGATTCGATAATATCAACAGCTTGACAGCTGGCTTGGAGGACACTATACTGATTGAAGAACAGTCTATATAAGTGTCTATATAAGTGTGGTGCAGGACGCCACCACTCCTCAGTCACCCCGAATATTTCGCTTGACATCATCACGGCCTGCAATTCCTCCCAAAGCTTTTGGGTGCTCTGAAGGAGCTGCGAGTTCAAATAGCCTCAGCTGCGGTGCGGCAAGACTTCGGCGCGGGACCTCGGTCTCGGCCCTGCGGAGTTGGTATGGTACGGATGCTGCGGGTCCGGACTGAGGCTGCTAGGGGTGTGTCATGGTCAGTAGGAAGAAGACAGGTGGGTGGAAAGGTCAAAGAGACCTATAACTGGCTCCTTTCGCCACAAACCATCACATGACTCTTTTCTTGGCATGTCACCTAGCACTGCTATTATCCGCCGATGGTAGACTCTGATCTGGCATCTGAAATTCCCTACAAGATCCTCCATCTTCCACCCAACATATAAACATGCCGCTCGCGTCAAGCATCGGTCGGTGTCCCCAACCACGGAACAAAAAAACCTTCCATATCACATCTCCAAGTGTCCGCTGAGGACTTCCAAGCGCGAGGGACCTGCTGCTTTAGACAGGTAGAGCTGCTTCACCTGCTCCCACTCCTCACCACGCCGATGTGTATGCAGGATGAGCTCGGTCCGCAAACAAGACTGTCATCCTTCTGATTTGCATCTCCGGGTGTAGACCGTCGACCCAAAGCTTTTCGGAACTTTCATCCTTGGAAATTGGGTTCCCTTCTTAGTAGATCTTAGTCGAGAGAATGTCACCTTGCGTATCATTGCAGGGCATGGGAGGGCATGTTGGCCTACATGCAAGTGCACAAATGCTTTGTCATGATTTGGACACTAATGAATACATTTTATATACCCCTTCGAATTAAGTGGGGGGTGGGTACACCGATTATATAATAGTTATAAAACGCTGCATATGACATCCATATCAAGGGGTATCATTTAATACAGATTAGGGCGGGCCGTGGAGCTTTAGAGTGCTTCTGTGTGCCATCAAACATGCGTGAAAGTCCTTCGTCGGAGGCCTCCAGAGAGCGTCCCCTTTTCTGTCCCTGGGGGCCTGTTTTTCATATACCTTCTCAAAAGGTACGACTGGACCCTCCATACCTACAGAACAGTGTCGAACACATCACCGTACCCGAGAAGGTAACGACTGGATCCCTATATAGGGTGTATCGAGGTACCCGGGGACCTCCCATCCATTCAAGTCTGACCATGCTGCGCTGCTGCGCCACCGCCTGACTGGCATCAGCCGAGAATCTAACAGCAAATCATTGAAGCCTTGGTACCTCGGGTTGGCCACCGGGCTCAACGCTAGGAGTGGGTAGCTTCTGAGGATTGCAGCTCATGAAGGGTGGCCTCATGCGATTCTGGTCGTGAAGGTGATGTGGGTTAAAATAGCAAGACCTCCCAGGCGTTCTGAACCCCCTGGAAGAAAGGAAATAAACCCGAATCCCAGAACATCAATTGTATAGATGTCGAGGTTCCGTTTGTGTGCGCCTTACGCTTAGCTGAGGGCAGCCACTGCACAGAGACAATCGTGCGTGAAACTTCAAAGGCCAAAAACCCATTGGTTGGAGGTCCCCCGATTTCAAGACACACCCATGTGCTCTGGACAGCGGAAATGGACAGCCTCTACCAGCCACCGCGGAGTTTCTCGGATTTCGGTGATCGAAGTGCTAGAAAGGTCGACGAATGCAAGGAGTTTGCAGTTATCACCGGCAAGAGGGCCTAACAGGTTAATGTTTGACGGGAGCTTGAGGCATCTCAGCCCTGATGAGCCAAAACATCCTTGCGGTACTTCTCGTAGCACTTGTGATACTGTTGGTGAATTTAGTTCGATCGGGGCTTGCGGGAGCGTAATGCTAGAGAGGTTGAGACACCCATCAAAGAAGTATGGGGCGAGCTTGGTTGCAGGGATGAAGGTATTGGCTCCGCCACTTGCGCCGATAGCGACCAGCTCTTCAAGTCCGTTTCTTGAAAGTCTGCACCACACGGATGCTCAGCAGGATAGACTTAAAACAGATTCCTAGCAAGTCTTATTCCGGAAGCATCATGTTCACCCATCTCGTGGGTGTGGGATGGTGTGGGTACCACCTCCCTGGACCTCTATGTCCAAGAGCATGGATTGTGGAGTTGTTAACTGCAAATGGGTTCTTCTATGTTCTTCTTGCTGGGTGAGTCTTGAGAAAAGAATCGAAAAGTGTGTATCAGTCAAGTGACGTCTTCTGCTCCATCTGCTTGAACCTCGGTCTGCTTCGACGTGGGTCTGCTCCACAGCCGCGGATCGACGAATCGACGTTAAGGAAAACCGCGGTCAGTTGGTTTGTAGCAGGTGATGGAATGGGGTAGAGTGTATGGAATGGATATGGAATGGATCCAACTAGAGGTCCCTAGAAGCTGGTTTGACAACACAAACACACCCCACACCTGGTTGTGGGGTCGCGTGGAAAACATTTAAACAAACATGATATTGGGTCGCGGGGGCCTCTTTGTGGGGGAGGATACTCATCAAGATTCGTTACCTATATAAATACCTCTTCTTGTTTAGTGGGGAAACCAGTTCCCCCAAAAAAAGGCTTTGTAGGTGATGCACGTATTTCCCAGAGAGCAAGCAAATGACGTACATTTTGATTTTTGGTTTTGCAGTCACTTGCAGCCACTTGCTCCGGCAGCCACTTGCAGCCACTTGTCACTCAAGCACGTAAACTTCAACACTGTACTTTGAGTTCTTCATGTAAAAACCATAAGACTTCTTCGTCGCTAGCTCTGCAGAAGTTTGGATTTTTTTCTCGGAAAAGTCTTGGCCTATTTCATGATTTCTCCGCGCGCAGCTCAGGAGAAAACCGGAACGTATTCGCAAAGCAGCATTGCAGAAATCTTGGTTTTCTTCAGAAATCATGATATTCTCTGGACAGAAGTAGCAGTCACTTGCAGCCACATGGCAGCCACTTGCAAGTGGCTGCAAGTGGCTGCAAAATTGAAAATCAATATGCGCACCTCCTGCGAGCTCAATGGCATTTCCGGGATGATTAGTTAGGCCACCTACTTACCTATAGCCACTCCGACTGTCATCCCACACTCATCCATGCACTATCCCCACTCCTCAGCGCTCCCATCCACAACCGAACCGAGGCACAGCTCCTTGGCCAGCTTGTCGCACACGCGCGCGGAGCTGTTGGCGTTCTCCGTGCGCACATGCTCCAGCAGCTGCTTCACCCGGGCAGCGAACTGGCTTCGGCATTCGCGGAACCTGCCGGCGGAGTGGAGGATGGGCGCGGCCGGGGGAGAAGGGGGGGTGGAAGTGCTTCGCCGGCGAATGTCTTGGACTCCCGTCGATTTGGGTGGTCCAAAGGTCCAAAGGTCATGATATGGAAAGAATAGAGGCACGGATGATGGAGATCTAGAATGCGTTGATCAGTGCTGCGTTCCCTTAGTGCCCTTCTTTATTAGTACATGACCTCGACTAAGAGATGCTACAGTAAGAGACTCTTCACTAAAATTCTGGATCTCCCAGATTGGTCTCTTTTGTTTAGTTGTGTGTGTGTCTTCCTTTTTGGGGGGGTGTTTTTTGCTCATGGACACCTTGAAGTCTCTCCTTGCATGTGCTGCATCTTTGTCAGCTCAGGCTCTAGCCTCACGCAACAATCGCACAACTTCCAAGTTGCCATTCCTGGCTGCAATGCTCTGAGCCGTCCGACTATCTGTATCTGCTGCATCTTTGTCAGCTCCAGCTTCGAGCAAACATTGCACAACTTCCAGGTGGCCTTCCTGGGCTGCAAAGTGCAAAGCCGTCCAGCCATCTGCAT